CCTATCTTTTAAAGAAAAAGCTTTCCCTGCTTGGTGCTGCACCAAACAGACAAAACTTTGAAGGCAGTTATTTTCTCAAGTGGGCGTCTATTGCACCCACCGAGTACTGTGTTACCTATCTGCCTTCGGAATGCCCGAGCTAGACCTACTAAAATCCTCAGGGCAGTCACTTTTCCCAAAAACGTATTATGTTCCAATCCACACCAATGAGTCACGCTCTTTTTAATTTAGACTTAGTGTCGCGAATATCCGAGTTCGGACCTGTTTTGTGTTAGTCTGGTTCTTTTTGAAAGGCAAGTTACCAGTGCAGTCACTGATACCTAGCCTGTGTATTAATAACCTAATACCTCTCGCTTTTTAGTCTTTCTTTCGTTTACCTAAGTCCTTAATAAAATAATACCCCTCCGGATTGGCACAAATAGGACCCTTCCGGACTGTCAGAATATGGACCCCTCCGGATTGGGACCCCTCCGAGTTAGTTAATAGTAGACCCCTCCGGATTTGGACCCCTCCGAACTAGCAACTATAAGACCCCTCCGGATTCGGACCCCTCCGGTTTTGTGGAAAAGAGACCCCTCCGGATTCGGACACCTCTGACTTTGAAAAATTTCGACCCCTCCGGATTGGGAGCCCTTAGCTCTGTCAAAGTAGCTTTTCGTAGTTTTCTTAATTTCAGCTTATACCCCTCCGGATACGTTCTGCGTTGCTTTTATGCTGTTTGAATTAACTGGGAAGGGTATAGGGTCCTTTCCTAGACCCCTCCGGATTGAAGTTAAGGCACTTATTTGACAATTCACACTAACGGTGAAGGGTCTTATCACTTGCCTAATTTCGACTCTATTATGGTTGTCTTGTGCCTTCAGCCCTCCCTTTTTGTCTAGAACTGTCCTAAGTTACTTAGTTCAATCGCTATCAACTTTTGGTAGGGGTATAAGGGTTTTTCAGAAAAATTTATAAAACGTGAAGGGTGTACCCCTCCGGATTTGTGTAATTTGCTAAAAACAATCTCAAAAAATTTTCTCGCTCGCTTTTTCGAGTAATTCTCTTTCCTACTAGTAAGTTCAGCTAATTTCTGATCTAATGGTACCAAGATTGACTCGATATGCTCTGTAGTTCCAAAGTTATTAACCAAAACGTCTTTTTTCCAAACTCAAAAATTTTCTCTCTTATAGGTTCCGCCTAACTTTTTCCGCAAATCTGGTCCTTTCGACCTAAAAATTATTGATCTGAGCTCAGAAGGCCTATACTCTTCTAGTTCAATGCAAAAGACCCGATCTAAAACGCTTTTGTAGAAAAAATTTGCGAAAAACTATGCTACCTGGACCCCTCCGGATTGATGAATCCACCAAATCAAACACGTTATGTTCGATTTCTCTGCAACCCGGAAGGCTTTCGGGTAGCGGGTTTTAAAACTCGTAGATTCACTAGTGGACGTAGTCCGAACAACTATTTTTACTGTCCTAACTCAAAGATTTCAAAAAATTTTCTGATTTTATAATGCTTCTTACTATCAAAAAATGGGAAAATTTGGTTTTTGGTACCAAACTAGTTCCAACCACTTCCGAACTAAAGTTAACCGGTTCTACTTATTACAGTAGTGCAGTTACGATGTAACACACTAACTTAGCGCTTTTTCCCGTTTCAAAAAATATCGATATCTCAAAAATCGCGACTTGTGGGGGGATCAAAATATCGCTATTTTGACCCTAAAAACCGGTCTGTTTTCGTTGTTTTTCACTGAAAAACGATATAAGACTATTAATATAGGCTATATAAGTAATAATATTAGTAATACTATACCCCTCCGGGTTTGTTTATTATCCGAATTAAGGTGCTTAACTCGGATATTCGCAGTTCGGTGAAGGGTCACTACAGTGCAGCACTGTCGATCCCCCCACAGATTACTATCTTACTTTTTGTACCAAAAGGGATACAAAACTTGTTAACGATACCCAACAGTCGATTGTTGTTGTCGTTGAGCCCCTTCTTGTTGCTCCTTGTACTGCTTGCCGGATCGGTCTTCACCCAGGACCCTTCCGAATTGAGCGCAAATCAGCTGACCCTTCCGGATTGAGCGCAATTTGTCATTAACGTGCTTAAATGCTCAAATAACCCTACAGTACAAGCCTCACAAACGGACCACAAAATTGATCGTAACAATCCTGACTGATATAAATGCCTGTAACAACAATATATCTATCAACAACAAACGGGGGGGTTGAATCACATCTTGTCTGGGGGGATGATTTCTACTGATTTTTTACTTTTTTACTGTTTTTGGTTTTTTCGGTTATTTTTTATGTTTTTTGTTTTTCTTGGGTACTATACTACTTTTTGGTTTGGTTTTGCTTATATATTTAAGTGTTTTTGGTCACAAACCACTCAGGGGATGAGGGGTTCATGATTCCCCCCACCCTTCCTGGTTCGTGAATTTTTGGTCTTAACTAGGTTAAAAAACTATTCACGGTAATCCGGAAGGCTTCCGCGTTCCGAAATACCCTTCCGCCCCGGCAGTTTAGGCCTATTAAGGGCGTTAATATGAGCATCCGCTCGGCGCGGAGTGCTCGTTAACGGTTCCGCCGGTCATGATGTTATGAAAGAATAACACCCAGGAGCGCCATAAAAACATACATGTAACATTCGCCCGGAAGATACATATCGACGGATAACAAAACTAAGTCTTAAGACGACTGGCTAGCGTCTAAACAGAGCTTTGCATGTTTTTCACCGTCTCTACCAAGCCAGTACTTTTCGGTGGTCTTTTCTAACATCGGGTCGACAAAAACGTTACTGTTCTCCGGCTTCGACCAGAACGCTCAAATTAACTGAATTACATGCAAAGATAGTGAGCTCATGGCTGGGTCTCAGTATCCCCAGACCACGAGGTCACTCCTAAAAACAGGGCTACTACTTATTATATTACTATTGTTTTTGTTCAGTAGATAAAAATCATCATCTCCATCGAAGATGGATCAACCCTTTCCCCCCCCCCAACTCTTAGCACCTCATCCTTGTCAAAACTAATCCAAATATCAATTAAATTCAAGTCAGGACATGACAGGATGCTAAAAGTTCATATGAGTCAATAAAAGTTTTCCGTCCCGAGACCCTTCCGGATTCTTGAATCCGGTGAATCAAGCTCCTTAAGTTCGATTTCACGACAATACGGAAGGCTGGTTTCTTACCCTTCACCGTTGTTCGCAACGGCCTTGCAACTATTGTAGCAGCACAATAGTTGCAACTCGGAACGTTCTCTGCAATCTGCTGCTGTTTTTCTTCAATTTCGACTTCTTCAATTTCGATAAAGTTGTTCTCGTCAGCGCAACTAATGTTGTTGTTGTTCCTCTCTCGTTTTTTGTTAAAATGGCCGTTTCAGCATTTCTCAGAAATGTGACATCATCATTCGAATTTTTGAAATATTAAAATACTAGAATATTCCAGCCTTCACCGTTTGGCTAAACGTTCCAATAACGCCCTTAGTTCATAAAAACCACCAATCCGGAAGGCTTACTGCTAAAATTCCGAATTCTGCAGAGATTGCATTTTTCACATTCTGGTCGAATGTCACACTGGTGCTGCTCCTCCGGTACACGCAAAAATTTTTGGAACATAGACAAACTCGTGAAACTTAACATCCTTCCTTTGTCTCTATACCAAGAGCTTCATGTTGGACTGCTGTTTGCAAAAATACTAGCTGGAAAAGTTGACATCGACTGGAGAAGCCATGTAAGCATCACTGACGTTGAAAACCGAAGAGCTCAAATCACACGAAATTTCGTCTGCAAACAAATGCGGCTGAAGAAGTGCGAGTCGGATTTCTGGTTTCAGGCATGTCGTCTTGCTAATCTGTACAACGAATACTTCAAATGTGATATATTGTTTGACCCAGAATGCAAAAAAAGACTTCTAGGAATGTACACAAAGTTTTTCAAAACTCGCTACAACGAATCAGACACATGCACTTGGCGCATTTTATGCGAATGCAACAACTGTAGAGACCTGAAGAAACTTACACTTATAACTGAAAACTAAACTTTGAACAATGCAATGACTGGGTTTTATGCGAACCCTTGGATTATATTCCTAAATCCTTTGTCATTATTATTATTATAAAGCTGCTGTGTTCCACATCCAGAATTCTTTGTTGATATTTTAATGTTTTGACACTCTCATGGGATTTAATGGGTAATACATTGAAATTTAAAAATTCATAAGCAGTTTAAAATACGTTGCATGATGACAAAATCAATTTCAAGAACATCCTCCTTTACAGAAAAAGAAAAAACAACATTTACAAAAAGTAAATAAGATCCAACACTGGCAACATGAAAAAATTCATTTAAAGATTTCAATTTTTGTAGTGAAAATTGTAGTGAATTGTAGTCTTTATCAATTAAAATGCTTAACTTTGTATTCTAAAATTTTGCTGTATTTGACAGATTATAATTTCACTTACACTTGTACATTTGAAAATACTTTCAACTGGCACATAAAGTGTTTTTAAAGATTTTTTGAATCAAAGTTTTCTTAATTCATTCATTTTGAGTTTTTTCTCTTTTCAAAAGTCTTCCTGCTGATTGCGATGCTATTGGTTCAATAGAAAAAATGTTGTGCGAGCTTCTTCTTTGCCCCTTTTTGGGTTCTGGGTATAGTCCGATTTTGTAAATTTCGATGTTAAGCGTTTCTTCAATGGACAAATATTGCGCAACAAGTGAAAAAGATTAATTTTTAATGACAAATCTCTAGGTGCTTCAAACATTCACTCGATATTATATAGTGATTTATACGTATCCACCCTCTACACAGGCCGTCAAATGCCCCTTGCAAAATTCACGGCAACAGCGCTTGCTCAGCTTCGCTTGCCTCTAGCACCAGTATTATCAGATTTTTGTTCGGTATACAACTGATTTGCTTCAGGTCATTCTTCATATACCAAATTTAAATGTATGCTGCTCGCTATATTTGTTTTTACTATTCTCAAAAGCCGAATGATACATTTCAGGTTGAGATGCCTGAAAATTCTAGCGTTGGATATGAGCAGGACCTGAATAATATTGTGGTTGAGGTACAAAAGTAATAATTTTCCTACAGTTATTGTCCGTGTAACATAAAAATAGTTCTCGATTTTGTTTTGCCCGCTATACCTTCAGTAATTGATTGATATTGTCAAGTTAATGAGCCTTGAGATGGACGTTACAGGGATGTTTCGTGCCAATTAGCCGTTTTCGTTTTATAATCATTCACTCAATGTTGGTGATAAAATCGTGGAGAATAATAACCAATAGTTGCCCTTGCAATGGGCATTGGTGTTACAGCCAGTTTAGTCTTTGATTTCCAGATATGAATGAAAAAGGAGTACAAAAATATTCCATTCTCAAGTTTTCCTTAGAAGAAATACAAACTCAGAGAAAAAATCAACTAATGCAATTGTGATTATTGATCTTATTTTCTATTTTAGTATCTTGATTACGCAAGCTATTCGGACACTCTCGAGTCTTTCAAAAGTGAATGCGTGTCCAAAGGCCGGCCTAACCCACAAACCAGTGGCATCAAATCAGATCAAAAGAAAAATGAAATACAGGTAGTTTCATTCATTCTGAGATATATATGCTGACTTAACAAACATCTTGTAAAAGTGTAAAAGAACGAATAGATTTTGACTTATAATGGTCATGATGATTTTAGGGTTTTTTTTGGTTTTAAATTTAATATTTCTCAGCAGAAAATTTTTGGCTATTAATCCAGTTATCTCTAAACGGAAAATTTTCATGAGAAAAGTGCCAATCATAAACAAATTTTGAAATTCAAAAGATTCAGAGATTCATGCGTTTTTTGTAAAACGAAATTTTCGGTTTCACGAGTACACCGTTTCAACCATCTTTCGGCTATGTTTTTGATATTTTAACGAATCGGTGTTTGAAATGCTTTTTAAAGTTTTAAGTCATTAGTAGCGGTATCGAATTGGAGTATAGACTTTTTTCAGGTTAACAACCAACGCCCTGTTTATCAGAATCACGAATCATTTCATGTCTTGATGAATTCAAATTTCTTGGTTTTGCCGACACATCTGGCCTAATGGTAACCCCTAAGCCATGAATCCGGCCAGGACCAGTTTTTTAAGCAAAAATATTCGGTTTCAAAAAATTGGTGACCCATCGTTTGCTTGATATGTATTGTCAGCTAAGTTGGCCTTGTCACTGATTTTTCTTTTGCTGTTAGCAGTTTCATTATAGTAGTAGATTTCCAAGTGTTTTCGATCTACTCCTGTAGTTTTAAATTTACTAGACTTGATTTTTCTTGAATTTTTTTTCCTTTCTATTTAAGTTTTTGGCCTTAAATTTTCAGACTTTTTTTGTTTTCAGCTCAATGAGCGGTTACCCTAGTTTTTTGTTTAGATGCAGTTCGCTAATTGTGATTTTTTTTCACGTCGGCGATTGCATTACTGGGCGCGCTTCCCTCAATTTAAACAACTTTTAAGAGATTATTACGCTTACAATTAGCAAGCATTATCAAGTTGGAATATAGGCTTTTTTCCAGGCTTACAACTTGTTTAACAGAATCACTTGCTATCTTGGTTCATAGTGAATTCAAATTTCTAAGCGTCTCCGGCATACCTAGTCTGGAGGTAACGAATACGCCAGGAAAGGTCCTTGGTTCGAATCACAGGGATCTGTTTTTTTTTCCAACGGTAAATATTCAGTTACTAAAAATTGGCGGCTTATTATTTGTCTGCTTATGTTTTGCCGGCTTAGATGCCCCATCTTAGATTTTTGGCTATATGCTGTTTTCATTGTAGTTGCTTTCTAATGTTTTTATTTTCTCCTGCAATTTGTAGATCTACTCACCTTGACTCGGCTTATATTTTATCAGCTGACTAACCTAATATTGGTTCGTTTGAGGGAACCATCATTTGCATGCTATCCTCCGAATAGCAAAAAACGTTAAAATTTTCAGAATAGAATTTTTAGTTCAAAGTTTTTCCTAACAATTTTATTTTCGCTCGATAATTGCTTTTGAATTTTCATTGAACGATATTGAATGTGTTTCTGGATGTGTTTTCCGCAAATAAAGCATGATTCCAGACAACATTTTGAAGTTTTTTAGAAGTGGTTTTTTCCCAAAAATTTTCCGTTTTCTTTGGAATTAGAGGCTCTCCTTTCTTTTCATGTCTGCTAGCTTGCAATGCTCTTTTTGTGGTATAGCTTCACATCTGTGTTTTTAATATTGAACCCTAACATCTTTTAGGTTCCTTCTTAATTGGCCCGGAGGTAAGTCCGCCGCCATTGCATCCTAAGCTCTGAGGTTCGCTTCTCAGCCGGACCTTACCTTGTTTTTTTTTCAGTTTGTATGCAATTGAGAAAAAATTCGGTTGAAGCTGAATTATCAGGACTTTCATTTGTTTGCTGAAGTTTTCTCAGCTAAGTTGCCACATCACGGATTTTGCTTGTGCTTTAAGCAACTTTGCTAGTGCAAGTGTTGTTCATTCTAGTATCAGGGGAGAATTTTGAAAGATTAGAATTTTTTTCATGAAATCATTTTTTTGTTCGGCTCAACTGTTGTCTGTTCAAAGATTTTTTTGGCTTAGTTGCTACGTCACAGATTTTTCCTGTGCTGTAAGCAATTTTCGTTGTAGTTGAAAGTGCGAGTGTTATTCATTGTAGTTTCAGGTGGGACTTAGAACTTAAATATTTTGTGTATTATCATATTTTTTCGTATCAACATGTGTCTGCTGGAAGATTTTCGACTTTGTTGATTCTTTGAAAGTTTGTAACGTTGCTAATTTAATATTCAAGATTGGGATTTTTGCTGCGAGCCTCCGTTTCGCCTCTGTCATATTTGTTTGGTTCGAGAGTGATAACAGATATGTATGTTTTCAGAGAGATCTATTGAGCCTCTTCCACAGTGGTAGCAGACGAGAGTTCTTCCTACTCTGGAATGAAAGTCTACCACAAGTCACAAGAGAGAAAGACCAGCTGTGCCAAAAATTAGAATTCTATCTCCAAATCTACTTTGCAATCTACTACTATAAATACCCGACTCCAGTAGTTCGTTATTTTTGTTGCTCAAAATGACAATTGAATTATTTGATGTTCAATGCAGCGCTCAAATGACTTAATTTATTTTTTTTGGTCCTCTATGTATCTTCGTGTCATCATAGTTTTGAATTTTTAGAGCGAAGCATCTGCAAAAATTGAGGAAGCCACCAATGCTTTCCGCACATTTCTGGAAACGAGAGGTTCATCTCTGAGCCAGACCACGGAGTTCCTTCCCTATTACGCCCTACCCTTCGTACCAAATCCGCCGGCGCATCCCTCTTTTAAAGAACTTTTTACAGTAAGTTGTCGATAAGAACGTTCCGAAAAAGTGAGTGTCTGGCCATTTCATTTTTTTCAAAATTATTCTTAGGACTCCTGGGTCCCAGAAGTCCAAGTGCGCCTCGAGAAGTTCCTCGCCATTTCTCTTCGCACAAATGCCAACCCGAGACTCCTGGAACTATACAAAGACGGGTCTAAAGGTTAGTGAATCATTCGCGGAATGTAATTTTGATTTACCTTAACTGTGTTAAGCTTATGCGATATCTAATTGACTTGATTAGATGTGCAGTTGCAGCTTTCTCAGTGCCAACAGAGCTTGATCGAATCTGAGAGGAAGACAACAAAATACATGAAACGATACTCCAAGCTACAGGTTGAAATGAAATTTTCAATAAAGTTTTTTTGCTAGTCAGTGGCAGTTGGTTATTAAGAGTCGATGAACGTAGCTCAGACTCATACTTTTATATAGGTCGTGATATTTTTTTTTGGAAAATTTCGTTTAGACTCAAGTTTACTTTTTCGCGGTTTTCTTTTTCGATTTCTTTCTAAGTTAAGTTAATTTCCTTTGTTAAGGAAGGCAAACTCCTCTATCGAACAGCAAAATGTAAGGGTCACGTAAAAGGTGATTGACTTCTATAATTCAATTTTCAGATTTCCAAGCGAAAAAGTTTTGCTTATTGATCCAGTTTTCTCAAATTGGGTTAATTTTATCTAAAAAAAGTTTCCAATCATAAATTTTTCTAGAAAATCAATTAGCTTTTTGGGCATCTATTTTTTTCTTTGGAAATCGAAAATTGAGATTTTTTCAAAAAAACAAGTCAGTATTTTTTTCTGTTTACTTGCGTTCATTGGCTCTTTTCCAACTATCTGTTGGCTATGTTTGGTTTCTAAAGCAATTGGTTTGCAGAACATTTTAGTGCTCGATTTTTTCACTTTTTCCATAAAAAAACTTATTTTTTCTCAAAAACTACTTTTCGGATTTTCAAAAAGTGGTAGCAAGAGGAAGTACGCCCATTCCCCTGTGTGCCTGTATAATCCCCTGGTCTCTTTGTTACCGTACCGCACTTCCCAAAGCCTTTGAAAAACTCTGTGGGGTATATTTGACCCAAACTTTTGGATGTTTTCATTTCCTGGAAAGCTACCCTCTGAGTTTTCAAAAGGGCGGGTTTTGAGAAGCTCCCCTGCATTAGCCACCCGCTACGCTACGCCCAATCAATTTTTTCACAAAAAATTATGACACTCCTTGATTTTTTGACCGTTCCTTGAAACTTGTTGACTTTTTAAAAACTATCATCCCAAATCTGAGTTTTTGGGTTAAAAGAAAGAATATGAAAGAACGAGTCTTCTGCATTAGCTGATACGCCCATTTTTTTCTACACAAAGTAATGGCATTTGAAAATGTCTCATTTTGATTTCTTGATTTCAAATGAAAGGAAGGGTTGTGGGAAGCTCCCCTGCACAAGCGACTACGCCCAATTTGAAAATTATGAAAAAGACAAAATTGTGATTTGTTGACCGTTTTTTGAATTTTTTTTGACTTTTCCTGAAACGAACCTTCCAAAATCTGAGATTTTGATTGCAATCGAAAGAATGATTTGTGGGAAGCTATATTGCATATGCAATACGCCCATTTTTCACACAAAAATTTATGGTCCTCGGAAAAGTAAAGTTTTTGATTTGTTGACCGTTTGTTTTGAACTTTTTGACTTTCCTCAAGCACTGCCTTCCCATATCTGAGATTTGAAGTTCAGAAGAAAGAACGAGTCGTTGGAAGCTTCCCTGCATTAGCGGCTACGCCCGAGTTGTTTTACTCAAAAATAATGGACCTCGGAAAAGTCAAATTTTCGACTTTTGACAGTTTTTTGAAATTTTGTGACTTATCTCAAAAATTACACTCCCATATCTGAAATTTTGATTTCAATCAAAAGGATGAGGTGTAGGAAGCTCCATTGCATAAGCGGCTACGTCCAATTTTTTTACCAAGCATTATGGCCTTCGGAAAAGTAAAATTTTCGATTTTTTGACCGTTGTTTTGAAATTTATTGATATCTCTCAAAAACTACGCTCCCAAATCCGAGGTTTTGATTTCAATCGAATCGAAAAAATGTTAGAAGCTTCCCTGTTTAAGCGGCTACTCGCAACTTGTTCACCTGAAAAGTTATGAACCTCGAAAAAGTCAAATTAAATTGTTTGACCGTTTTTGAAACATCTCGACTTTTTTTTTGAAAACTACCCGCCCAAATCTGAAGTTCTGAGTAAAGCGAAAGAACAAGTTGTGTGAAGCTCCCCTGCATAAGCTTCCACGCTCTTCGGAAAAGTCAAATATTAGATTATTTCAGCGTTTTTGAATCTTTTTGATTTTTCTCAAAAACTACCCTAACAAATTGAAATTTTGGATTCAACCAAAAGCAAGGGTTGAGAGAAGCCTTAAAACTGATGGACCTCAGAAAAGTCAATGTTTTGCTTTTTGTGCTTTTTTGAAACTTTTGCCTTCTCGAAAACTACTCAGCCAAAGCTGATATGAAGGGTTTAATCGAGGCAACAGGTTGTGGGAAGCATCTCTGCATGAGCAGCTTAAAATTAGAATTTGTACAAAAATTGTTATGTTTTTGGGAAATTTCTTAATTCTAAATTTCCCGCTTTATTTTATTACTGAAACCGATAAGGTTTTGGGTGAAGCCCATTTTTTTTAATTATCGTTTTCATCTCGCATCAGTACAGCAAACTCAAAAATGATCAAACATGTACCTCCAGCTTTAGCTGGCCCCCAGTGTGATAATATTGAAATTATATCTTATGATTTTTTAATTGTGTTTCGAATCTTTTTAAAGTTGATTAAGCTAATCAAAACAGCAAAATTTTAACCATGTTTGTCTGTAATATCTGATTATTTTGTCTTGATTTCAGAATGACTATCACAACATTATTTCAATCACAGCAGAACTGGTCGACACTCTCGAAGCCACCTTCAATGGCACCATGGTAAGATTTTAGAGACACTAATCGCTTTACCTGATTCAGACAAACCAGTTTTCAAATGATTCAATCAAACCAGTTTTCTTTTCAGACAGTAAGCTTAATGATTAAAAATAAATTGGGAGTTTTGACAATTTTTTTAGCAAAATGTTCGAATTGACAAAGTGGTGAGCAAAAAATTGCAGGTCGTTTTTATCCCGATAGAGTAGACATGGCATTTGCACGATCATTCTGAACTCCTAGTTTGATATATTACACTTGTGTTGCTACTAGCTTTCTTTAAAACTGTTTCATGGCTCTAGTTTTGCCTAAATATATGTGGCTTCATTTCAAAAATGTTGATAGTATGATAATGTTTTATTGGATTTAATTTTCTTTTCTACAAAAAAAATTGTTTTGAAAAATCCCTCGCTTGACTCACCATAGGTCAAAAATTTCAAAATAATCGGGCATTTCTTCTATCCTGAAGGCATATCGTTCGATTTTCACTTGCGAGAGCAAATGACTTGCAATCGGTAACTAGAAATTCCGGTAGTCGATTTTAATTCAATCAAAAATATTGTCCTGATGTAAGATTTTCGCGTCTTTTCAGCAAACAATTTTGAGAATGTCGTTTGATTTAGGTGACCCCTGAGTATCTACAGAGTGTTTGTGCCCGTCTGTTTTCAAACCAGGCTGGCCAGAGTGTCGACTTCACTCGCCCGGGGACAGCCGGCTCAGTGATCCGTAAGAGTCTGGTTGCATCCAGCATGCAGCACATGCAAGACTCAATGAATGGAACTTCGAAGGGAGATCCACGCAACTCACAATCTATTAGGTAAGTGTTTAGAATATCCCAAGACCCTTCGGAATGCGAGACGAGGAAATGTAACATTTAGTTCCGCGGGTTGTCTGTAAAATTCAAAAAAAAACAGACCGCTTCATAGCGTGTTTTTGAACTATGACTAATTTGCATTTCATGTTTTTGTAGTTTTCTGACTATTTTTTTTTTCAGTATTGAAGTTAAGGAAAATTAATTTTATGCCTGCTTCTGGTTTTGCGAGAGAGATTAAATAAAGGCTAAAAATGAAGAAATAGAGTTGACCTCTTGCAGCTTGGATGCGACGGGGGTTGTTCGTGCTAGTATTGCCAATAGCAGAGCTGTCCCATCCCCGCCCTGTATCAAACAGCAGGACGGGCTACAGAAACAGTTGAGTTCACTTCTGTGTACCACCAGTGTTTGTTTGTCTCTGTCCTCATTTAACTCCCTTCTCATGTATAAGTCCATGTTTTGTAGTTTGCGTGGCGTGTCATTGTTAGTTGGAGCTGCTGAATTTAAGCAATAGAATTGTATCTGATTCTGTTGGATAGCCCTTAATTTGCGCGCGCGGTCTCTACAGATTGTTACTGAGTTAGAAAAATGTGTATGGGTATCTGGATATGCCCAGTTTTTATCAGTGTATTAAAGTCAATGAACTTTGTGAAGACAATCATTATAGGTCGTGTTAGTTTTTTTTCAGGAAAAAGTTTTTCACTCACTTTCGAAATTTTTTGCGCATTGTCTTTGATTTTCAATTTGAATCCATTTGCTAAAAGGAAGGAAATTGCGCTCTCGAAATTCACAGCGGAGTAAGAAAATGCCATTTGATCCAGCTTTCTCAAATTGAGCCAGTTTTATGAAAAAAGTGTCAACCGCAAAGATTCCTGAAATTTAAAGAAATTTAGCGGAATGTATTTTCTTCAAAATTTGAAGTTTCAAAACAAGTTACCGGTTTCCTTGAGATCATTGACCTAATTGCAACTTTCTGTTGCTATGTTTTCTATCCGTAACTGATCATTTAGAGACACTTGGAAACGGTCACTGCAAAAAATCTATACCGTAGTTGTTCAATCAGTTAAGCATATTTTGTTTCTATGTAGACCGGGATTTGGCGGAGGTGCAGATGGGGGGATGGACATGCCGACAGTTGTGTTGTATCCTGGCCTAGACTATTCTCTAGTGAAAGAAGACATCACTTATGCAGAGAACAGAGAAAGATGTCTGCTGCTGCAAGCACTTAGATGGGTATGATCTAAACATAAGGATCAGTTTGCTTGTAGCTTAGTCGAATTTAAATTCAAGTGGAAAAAATTTATTGAATTTATTCATATACTAATGAGGCCTGATTTTAATAAATATAAACTTCAATTTTCATGGATCAGTTATGAATCTTGATTATCCAGAAAACCTTTGCTGTAGTTTTCCATGAAATTCAAAAGTTAAAAGCTCGATCAGTTTAATATTTGTTTTGCAGCGCCTCACTAAATCAGTTCCTGGTGAACAAAGAGATGACGTAGTTTCCAACTACATCTCCAATGACCTTTTGGCCTGCAGGTCAACACCGGTCATTAAACAGCCGAAGGGCCAAGGACCGACAACCAATGGGGTCAACTCAAATGGAGTGGAACACGAAAGCGAAACGTACAGGTCCGCTATCTTCCAGCTTCTCAAGAGTGGCACAATGTCAGCACAATACCTCGCAAGACTGATAAATGGAATCGCAAGCATCCGAAACGGTAAGTTACTTTGCCTTGAAAACCATATGAAACAAAAAGATTGAATGTACACATAATCTACGGAATTTAATACTATTCTCGATATAAATTAGAATGCTTGATAAAGGTGTTAATAATCTATAACTAGAGTTGATTGAAATTGTTTTTGCTTGAGAGCCCAAAAATAGATAACTGAGCTATGTCGAAATTACGTTCTGAATCATCTTAACATTCTTATTTTTTACAGACAATAACATTTTCAAAGTAGCTATCCAAAAGTAAAACTTTAGTAATTAATTAGTTACCTAGAAAATTAAATCTAAATCATTATGCATAAAGTAAGTGAGGTTTCGCTTTTCTAGTGACGACTCTGGAGCAAAGATAACGGTTTATTTTAAATCCAAAATGCACAAAATTTCTTTTCTTGTTTCAAATTATCAAAATGAATTCTTCAAATCTTTTGAGTCTGCTGGATTAGGTCGTGCCTACTTGAGTGAGAGTGTGGAGTTGCTAAGTGAGATGCAGGCCGCCATGCAGTCCGAGCCCAAAGACTCCCTCACCAGAGAGATGCTCCTCGGATCACTGCAGAAACTCAGTCTCAAGTTAGCCATTTGAAGCTCTGAACTATTTAAACACCTGTCTAAATTTTAAATAGCCTTTGGAGGGTAATATATTTCAGTATAGATACTTTTTCATACACAAAAGTGGTGTTCGACCTTGAGCTTATCTAGAAATTTGGAAAAATTCACAAGTTACACTTGTGATAGGTTCATTAACAAAAAAAATGTAGTCAATGGGTTCATCTCCTTTAATAGTTACCCGTTCATTTCGAAGTTTATTTTTATCTTGATTGTAAATGTGCCACCTCCGATTTCGTGTAACTTCATTTTTTCACGTGTTTTTGTCACATAAAAGGTTTAATTGCCGCTCGAGATTTCGCCGTTAATCATATTGCGTTTTTGAAGGGCAAATTTGATGCTTAAGGGAGAGGTTTTCCTCAGAATGAATTTTTTCTGGACTAATCGTGAAATGAAAATTTTGATAGATCCAGTTTATTAGATTTAGTTTTTTTTTCGTTCTAGTGACTTTCGTCCCTTTTTGTCGGCTAGCTTGTCATGCTCTGTTTGTGATGTTTCGAAATTATACTCTCACCCGCCACCTCACAAGCCTCAATTTTGTTGTTCAATGTTCATTTTTCTCTCCAAATGGTGCGAAAAAACTTGATTGACTTCTAGTTTCAAAAATGGTTTTTAGCTTTCAGATTTCTTTATGAAATACAAAAGTTTCAAGGAATAATGATCTTCGCAATAATGATTTTCGTAATAATGATTCAAATAAAAAATAATTGTTAATTTTAAAAGGGGCTCTTCCGTTTAGGCACGGTCGTGCACAAGCTGGATAGGGCCCATACCAGCATTATATAAATACATCAATAAACAATATTGCAGGAATTAAGTCAAGTCAGCATTTAATGCATTGTCATTAAAGGTATTTACTTCAACCGTCCCTCCTCTACAACAGCACTAATTGAATTGTCTTTGAATTGCGACTTACGCAGTGATCTGCAACCCCGTATACAAAGGATAGCGCTCCTGAGCAGCGCGAAGCTTATCTTAGTTCTTATATAGTTTATTGTTTCTGCGTAGCTTTCATGCCTTTTTTCACTAAGTTTTTCAGCTATGCGCTGCATTGTCCGAGTAGCTGCTGGTGTGGCACCACCAGTGTAGCCAAAAATGAGCGGGCAGAAGCTGCTCTGTTCGACTTGTAGAACTCTCTGTTGGTATTTTGAGTTTTTTAGTGATTCGTGGTACTTATAGGCGTCTTTCAGTAGTCTTCGTGAAGTTTTTGCGTGCGGGTTGAAGACTTTGACATCAATGAAGGTTCGGGTCTAAAGATTGACCACATGCACATGTGAGTGGAATGTTGGTCGGTTTCCATCCATATCTGAGAGAAAATCCATCCCGGAATTCGGATTTATTCAGGTTAAAATTATATCTGCTAAGAGGCAGTGCATTTAACCAGTTTGAGGCTACTTTTTCGGAGGCCAGCTCAAGTGCGTATTTTTCATCGTCGCTCAAGTTGTTCAAAATGTTAGTTCTCTTTTGGTTTGTTCTTTCAGTTTTAAGTGTATGTGTCTAGGACTGACGATATTTTAATTGACCATTCTAAAAAATTCATAGTCAGAAGGTAGCTTGATATTTAGACCACTCTTTTTCAGTGGCAAAGAAGCGATGTCTCTAAATTGATGGCTGATATTATCTTCACCAATTAAATTTGGAATGAGGTTTTCCTGCAGTATCTTCTTCGTGTTTCAAATTGGACTATTTTAATCAAAAAATAGCTTTATCAGCTTTAAAGGGACATTCTTTTTGTTTGAAATGCGAATGTTGAAATTTTTCAAAAAAAAAATCAATTATTGTTTTCTTTCAAGTTCAAAGACACTTTCCAACTGTCTGTTGGCTATGTTTGCGATGTACAGCTTCGCCTCTGTGTAAGAAATTGTTTCTAAAATTTTATTTAGTGCACTTTTTTAAGAGTAGTGAACGTAGTGAGTACTCTTATATAGGTCTTAGTGATTTTTTTGATTTTGCTTCTATTAGTTGTGATTTGGACTGCAATGAAAAAGTTCATTCATGCAATCAAAAGACTATATTTTCGTTTTAAAGAGACATCAATTTGTTTTTTGCGTAATAAAAGAAACGAAATTTTTTGTCGTGAAATTTCCACTCACGTTAATGTTTTCTTCTCTCCGCCATTGTTGGATAATTCCTTCCGCGTTTTTACACAAGCGAAGCGTAGTGTGTTTTTTTGAAGACTTTTTTCTAATCTAAGTCGCAAATAAAAGTGCTTATTTGGTGGCAATTTTGGTATATTTCAATTTAAGTTTATTTGAGCATTATAAAAGTTTATTGCCTTATTATGCTGCTTTATTTTAGGCTAGTGTCATATCGTGTTTGAAAAAAAACCTTTATAATAAAAATGTATGGTTTTTAATGTTTTTTTTTGCGACGCTTTGGAAAATTTTAAGCACTTTTCGCAAACTTTTCATTTTTCTTAAAAACTACTGTACCGATTTTCAAAAAAAAAAGTGGAGACCAATTGGAAAACCGGCTGCTCTTTTATGTGCCTGTATATTTTGCTAGTCTCTTCATTTTTGGTGAATTTTTTAAACTTGGATTTTTCTCAGAGACTACCCTGTCAAATCGGAGATTAATGGTTTAACCGAAAAAAAATCAGTTATGCGCATCTTACGTGCGCAGGTTGATATAATCTACGTTTTGAAAAAATGGCTGGAGAAAATTTCCTTTTTTTTAAATATTGCCAATTTTTTAGAAAGTTATGCCAGTTTTTCAAAAACTAACATGCTGATTCTGAGTTTCCCTACCTAATCTATTTTAATCTGATTTTTTTTCTAGAAAAGCTGATATGTTCTTCGGAAAAATTCCTTTTGAAGTCTTTCGTTTTTTTAAAAGAAATTTCGTCACTTTTCGTTGGCTACTCCTTGGAGTTACTAGAGAAATTTTTATAGATTCAGGAATTTAGTCAATTTTTTTTTAAAAAAAGTTTTGATAGATTTTTAGAATCTTTCTCTTTTTTTTTTCGAAAACTGCGCAGCCAAATCTGAAATAAAGACTTCAATTGAAAGATCGAGTTGTAGTTTTTTCCTTAGAATAAGTGGTTAATCCCCTACATAAGCAGAAAAGCACTAGGGTTTAGCAGAGAAGCACGTGGCGCAGATCCGAGGACTTGATACTCCTAGTCATTAGGTCGGATATTGAACTCCGGACAATTTGATCGAATCTGCAGCTGCTTTATTGTTTGCTAGTTTAAATGAAATTACAAGCCACCGAGGAGTAGATGTGAGAACGTGATACTAGTATTCTTAGCAATTTTTTTTCAAGGTGTATTTTTAATCTTCTCCTTATTTCATTTTGCCTGTTTAGAGCTCTTTTTTGCATTTTCCTCGCTTGTTTCAAAACAAGTTACCGGTTTCCTTGAGATCATTGACCTAATTGCAACTTTCTGTTGCTATGTTTTCTATCCGTAACTGATCATTTAGAGACACTTGGAAACGGTCACTGCAAAAAATCTATACCGTAGTTGTTCAATCAGTTAAGCATATTTTGTTTCTATGTAGACCGGGATTTGGCGGAGGTGCAGATGGGGGGATGGACATGCCGACAGTTGTGTTGTATCCTGGCCTAGACTATTCTCTAGTGAAAGAAGACATCACTTATGCAGAGAACAGAGAAAGATGTCTGCTGCTGCAAGCACTTAGATGGGTATGATCTAAACATAAGGATCAGTTTGCTTGTAGCTTAGTCGAATTTAAATTCAAGTGGAAAAAATTCAAAAAATTTATTGAATTTATTCATATACTAATGAGGCCTGATTTTAATAAATATAAACTTCAATTTTCATGGATCAGTTATGAATCTTGATTATCCAGAAAACCTTTGCTGTAGTTTTCCATGAAATTCAAAAGTTAAAAGCTCGATCAGTTTAATATTTGTTTTGCAGCGCCTCACTAAATCAGTTCCTGGTGAACAAAGAGATGACGTAGTTTCCAACTACATCTCCAATGACCTTTTGGCCTGCAGGTCAACACCGGTCATTAAACAGCCGAAGGGCCAAGGACCGACAACCAATGGGGTCAACTCAAATGGAGTGGAACACGAAAGCGAAACGTACAGGTCCGCTATCTTCCAGCTTCTCAAGAGTGGCACAATGTCAGCACAATACCTCGCAAGACTGATAAATGGAATCGCAAGCATCCGAAACGGTAAGTTACTTTGCCTTGAAAACCATATGAAACAAAAAGATTGAATGTACACATAATCTACGGAATTTAATACTATTCTCGATATAAATTAGAATGCTTGATAAAGGTGTTAATAATCTATAACTAGAGTTGATTGAAATTGTTTTTGCTTGAGAGCCCAAAAATAGATAACTGAGCTATGTCGAAATTACGTTCTGAATCATCTTAACATTCTTATTTTTTACAGACAATAACATTTTCAAAGTAGCTATCCAAAAGTAAAACTTTAGTAATTAATTAGTTACCTAGAAAATTAAATCTAAATCATTATGCATAAAGTAAGTGAGGTTTCGCTTTTCTAGTGACGACTCTGGAGCAAAGATAACGGTTTATTTTAAATCCAAAATGAACAAAATTTCTTTTCTTGTTTCAAATTATCAAAATGAATTCTTCAAATCTTTTGAGTCTGCTGGATTAGGTCGTGCCTACTTGAGTGAGAGTGTGGAGTTGCTAAGTGAGATGCAGGCCGCCATGCAGTCCGAGCCCAAAGACTCCCTCACCAGAGAGATGCTCCTCGGATCACTGCAGAAACTCAGTCTCAAGTTAGCCATTTGAAGCTCTGAACTATTTAAACACCTGTCTAAATTTTAAATAGCCTTTGGAGGGTAATATATTTCAGTATAGATACTTTTTCATACACAAAAGTGGTGTTCGACCTTGAGCTTATCTAGAAATTTGGAAAAATTCACAAGTTACACTTGTGATAGGATCATTAACAAAAAAAATGTAGTCAATGGGTTCATCTCCTTTAATAGTTACCCGTTCATTTCGAAGTTTATTTTTATCTTGATTGTAAATGTGCCACCTCCGATTTCGTGTAACTTCATTTCTTCACGTGTTTTTGTCACATAAAAGGTTTAATTGCCGCTCGAGATTTCGCCGTTAATCATATTGCGTTTTTGAAGGGCAAATTTGATGCTTAAGGGAGAGGTTTTCCTCAGAATGAATTTTTTCTGGACTAATCGTGAAATGAAAATTTTGATAGATCCAGTTTATTAGATTTAGTTTTTTTTTCGTTCTAGTGACTTTCGTCCCTTTTTGTCGGCTAGCTTGTCATGCTCTGTTTGTGATGTTTCGAAATTATACTCTCACCCGCCACCTCACAAGCCTCAATTTTGTTGTTCAATGTTCATTTTTCTCTCCAAATGGTGCGAAAAAACTTGATTGACTTCTAGTTTCAAAAATGGTTTTTAGCTTTCAGATTTCTTTATGAAATACAAAAGTTTCAAGGAATAATGATCTTCGCAATAATGATTTTCGTAATAATGATTCAAATAAAAAATAATTGTTAATTTTAAAAGGGGCTCTTCCGTTTAGGTACGGTCGTGCACAAGCTGGATAGGGCCCATACCAGCATTATATAAATACATCAATAAACAATATTGCAGGAATTAAGTCAAGTCAGCATTTAATGCATTGTCATTAAAGGTATTTACTTCAACCGTCCCTCCTCTACAACAGCACTAATTGAATTGTCTTTGAATTGCGACTTACGCAGTGATCTGCAACCCCGTATACAAAGGATAGCGCTCCTGAGCAGCGCGAAGCTTATCTTAGTTCTTATATAGTTTATTGTTTCTGCGTAGCTTTCATGCCTTTTTTCACTAAGTTTTTCAGCTATGCGCTGCATTGTCCGAGTAGCTGCTGGTGTGGCACCACCAGTGTAGCCAAAAATGAGCGGGCAGAAGCTGCTCTGTTCGACTTGTAGAACTCTCTGTTGGTATTTTGAGTTTTTTAGTGATTCGTGGTACTTATAGGCGTCTTTCAGTAGTCTTCGTGAAGTTTTTGCGTGCGGGTTGAAGACTTTGACATCAATGAAGGTTCGGGTCTAAAGATTGACCACATGCACATGTGAGTGGAATGTTGGTCGGTTTCCATCCATATCTGAGAGAAAATCCATCCCGGAATTCGGATTTATTCAGGTTAAAATTATATCTGCTAAGAGGCAGTGCATTTAACCAGTTTGAGGCTACTTTTTCGGAGGCCAGCTCAAGTGCGTATTTTTCATCGTCGCTCAAGTTGTTCAAAATGTTAGTTCTCTTTTGGTTTGTTCTTTCAGTTTTAAGTGTATGTGTCTAGGACTGACGATATTTTAATTGACCATTCTAAAAAATTCATAGTCAGAAGGTAGCTTGATATTTAGACCACTCTTTTTCAGTGGCAAAGAAGCGATGTCTCTAAATTGATGGCTGATATTATCTTCACCAATTAAATTTGGAATGAGGTTTTCCTGCAGTATCTTCTTCGTGTTTCAAATTGGACTATTTTAATCAAAAAATAGCTTTATCAGCTTTAAAGGGACATTCTTTTTGTTTGAAATGCGAATGTTGAAATTTTTCAAAAAAAAAATCAATTATTGTTTTCTTTCAAGTTCAAAGACACTTTCCAACTGTCTGTTGGCTATGTTTGCGATGTACAGCTTCGCCTCTGTGTAAGAAATTGTTTCTAAAATTTTATTTAGTGCACTTTTTTAAGAGTAGTGAACGTAGTGAGTACTCTTATATAGGTCTTAGTGATTTTTTTTGATTTTGCTTCTATTAGTTGTGATTTGGACTGCAATGAAAAAGTTCATTCATGCAATCAAAAGACTATATTTTCGTTTTAAAGAGACATCAATTTGTTTTTTGCGTAATAAAAGAAACGAAATTTTTTGTCGTGAAATTTCCACTCACGTTAATGTTTTCTTCTCTCCGCCATTGTTGGATAATTCCTTCCGCGTTTTTACACAAGCGAAGCGTAGTGTGTTTTTTTGAAGACTTTTTTCTAATCTAAGTCGCAAATAAAAGTGCTTATTTGGTGGCAATTTTGGTATATTTCAATTTAAGTTTATTTGAGCATTATAAAAGTTTATTGCCTTATTATGCTGCTTTATTTTAGGCTAGTGTCATATCGTGTTTGAAAAAAAACCTTTATAATAAAAATGTATGGTTTTTAATGTTTTTTTTTTGCGACGCTTTGGAAAATTTTAAGCACTTTTCGCAAACTTTTCATTTTTCTTAAAAACTACTGTACCGATTTTCAAAAAAAAAAGTGGAGACCAATTGGAAAACCGGCTGCTCTTTTATGTGCCTGTATATTTTGCTAGTCTCTTCATTTTTGGTGAATTTTTTAAACTTGGATTTTTCTCAGAGACTACCCTGTCAAATCGGAGATTAATGGTTTAACCGAAAAAAAATCAGTTATGCGCATCTTACGTGCGCAGGTTGATATAATCTACGTTTTGAAAAAATGGCTGGAGAAAATTTCCTTTTTTTTTAAATATTGCCAATTTTTTAGAAAGTTATGCCAGTTTTTCAAAAACTAACATGCTGATTCTGAGTTTCCCTACCTAATCTATTTTAATCTGATTTTTTTTCTAGAAAAGCTGATATGTTCTTCGGAAAAATTCCTTTTGAAGTCTTTCGTTTTTTTAAAAGAAATTTCGTCACTTTTCGTTGGCTATTCCTTGGAGTTACTAGAGAAATTTTTATAGATTCAGGAATTTAGTCAATTTTTTTTTTAAAAAAGTTTTGATAGATTTTTAGAATCTTTCTCTTTTTTTTTTCGAAAACTGCGCAGCCAAATCTGAAATAAAGACTTCAATTGAAAGATCGAGTTGTAGTTTTTTCCTTAGAATAAGTGGTTAATCCCCTACATAAGCAGAAAAGCACTAGGGTTTAGCAGAGAAGCACGTGGCGCAGATCCGAGGACTTGATACTCCTAGTCATTAGGTCGGATATTGAACTCCGGACAATTTGATCGAATCTGCAGCTGCTTTATTGTTTGCTAGTTTAAATGAAATTACAAGCCACCGAGGAGTAGATGTGAGAACGTGATACTAGTATTCTTAGCAATTTTTTTTCAATGTGTATTTTTAATCTTCTCCTTATTTCATTTTGCCTGTTTAGAGCTCTTTTTTGCATTTTCCTCGCTTGTTTGCGAAGCACAGCTTCGCCTCTGTCAAAACGCAGCTTGAGTACACTTATTAAGAATCGTTGAGCGTAGTTCAGTCTCTCGTATAGGTCGTGCTGATTTTTTTTCAGGATTCGTAGCTGATTTTTTCGCAGTTAATTTGTTCAGGCTCAAAATTTTTCGAGGTTTGTTTTATGAATTCTTTTTCAGTTCAGTTCATTTCACAAACTTTCTCAGAAAATCTCAAAACCTCAAAAAATAGATGACCATAAAGCTCTTTGAATTTCTAGAATAATTTATGATTGACACTTTTTTGATAAAATTAACCCAATTTGGAGCAATCGCTGGGAAATTTTGTAATAAATTCCATTTTCGAAATTAGAAGTAACACTTTTCTTTTTTTTTTGAAATTATATCGGTGTTCTGAACTTTCTATACTATTTGGACAGCTACCAGCCGTTTTTGGTAATTATCATGTGATTACACAGGGGCGGATCTAGGATTTTCTCGAGGGGGGGGCGGATTTTCAAAAAAATTTCCAAAATTTTGACGACCTTTTTTTTTTTTTTAAGTCGACCAAATAGGCTTTTCGAGCTCTCCCAAAGCACCAAAGCAGTGTCTTGCCCCTATTTTAGCAAAATTATTTGCGCCGCAGGCAAATTTTTGAAAAAACAGTCAAAAAAGCCGTTTTTGGGCACTTTTTGAAAAATTTTGACAAAAAAATCGCGTTTTTTTGGCGCGCGCTCCCCCTCAAAGTTAGTATGTATTGGCGCCAAAGGCGCCTTTAGAAAAATTTTAGGGTCGGTCGGCCAAAAATGGATTTCTGAAAAAGTATCAAAGGCCCTGTGATTACATGTTTTGTGCAGACGTTCTCTGCAGACTGCGATGATAGGGAGTGGGGTGGTAGAGTGGCTGACTGAGGAACTGCAGGACTTCGACTCTTTGTCCGACTATTCTTTGGAGTACAGTGTCGCTCTCCTCATGAACCTCTGTCTGCGCACCAAGGGTAATTGAATTTCATCATTCTCAATAGCGTATTACAAAAAAATTATCATTGTACATATGAAAAACGCAATCGTAAAATAACTGTTAATCTTACGTTTTTATAACTTAGCATTATAACTACTACTCATTTTAGTGCAATTTCTGGTACAAATCAGTGTTTTTGTTTGACTATTTTGTTTCCAGTTTAAGGAGAGTTTGGCGTCTTAAAATCTTAAAGAATTTAATCATTTAAGTTTAAATGTGCTTCACGAGTGTTTGATCATTTTGCTTGATTTAGCCATTAAGTGTTTTTCTTGAGTTGAATTTTGCGATAAAAACAATCTCATGAGTAAGCTCTTTAGGAAAGCTACGCTGCAGTGGTTTCCCCTCGAAGATATTAAGTGCACTGAGTGACCTGCTGGGCCATGACTACCATGACATCAGGCCATACATCAATGGCACCCTCTACAGCATCCTATGTGTGCCTGAAGTGAAACACGAAGCCAAATCAATGGTTAGATTTGAGATTTGAATCATCTTCTTCAGGAATTTGTTGCTCTGCGATTAAACTCTTTTGTCTTAGAGAATTTGAAAATTGGATTTGAAGATGTTCCTATCATAAGGAAAATCCATTCCTTTGGTCTCAAAATTTTCACACCTCAAATATTTCGCCCCTTTAAATAATACAGTTGCGCATGTATTTCACACACATAGACCGCCAATTAATATGGGGCGGTATGCGTCCTAATTTAAAGATAGTTAAAACACGTGCATCGAGTTTTTACAACAGAATGTTACCAAAAGTTTATACTTCGATGGAAAATTTGCAGTTTTAATTGCTGTAAATTTGCCGGTTTGACCCGATTGAAGCCTTAAAATGCGTGTTAAAGGGTCTAGAGGATATCATGAAGCAGTACAAGTCGAATGACAATCCAGAGATGAACAGACAGATAGACTTCATCATCCGCCAACTGAATTCGGAGGAGAAACCGAAGGATCCCGAGGACTCTGATGACGAGCAGGAGGACGACGATGAAGAGGAGGCAAGTTTCAATTCCGTCATCTGGGAATGTATTGACACAAGCGAAGCGTAGTGTCTTATTACGAAGAATTTTTTTCTAACCTAAGTCGCAAGTAAAAGTGCTCATTTGGTGGCACTTTTGGTATATTTCAATTTAATCATATTTCAGCTTATTTAAACATAACCAATTTTTGGCTAGTGTTAGGTCCGGTTTGAAAAATATATATTATGAAAATGTATGGGATTTGTTGTTTGAGAAGTTTCAATTTTTCTCAAAAGTTACTGTACCGATTTTCTGAAAAATAGTACCAATGGCAAAACTGGCTGCTCTTCTGTGTGCCTGCATGTTTTGCTAATATCTTTTCATTTTACCTCACGTTCTACAGCCTTCAAAACTTTCAGTAGGGGGATTTTTGGCCTAATTGTTTTAAGTTCTTACATTTTCTCAAATTTCAAATGCACAAATCTAAGATGAATGTTTTAATCAAAAGAACATATTATGGGGATCTCCTCTTTTCAAGCGGCTATGTCCTAAATTTGGTTTAAAAAGTTATTTCTCGAAAACTACTCTGCCAAATCTGAGATTAAGAGTTTAACCGGAATAAAAAAATCAGTTATGCGAATCTTACCTGCGCAAACGGCTATGCCCTGCGTTTTGAAAAAAGGCCTCAGAAAATGTCCAATTTTTGAAATTTTGCCCGTTTTGGGAAAGCCCGTTTGTGGATACCCTGTCTTTTTTTTGTAGAGAAGCTGATATGGACTTCGGAAAAATTCCTTTTAAAATTTTTACCATTTTTCTACAACTTTCGTCACTATTCTCGAAAACTACTTGCTAAATCTGATGTTAAGGGTTCAATCTAACAAATCAAGGTGACGAGATCTTCAATCTGAAAATACTATTGTGGAAAGCAGAGGCTTTTATTATGCTTTTGTAGAGATAAGTTTATGTATTTAGGAAAAGTCAATTTTTTGATCGGTTTTGGATCTTTTTCATTTTTTTCAAACCACGCAACCAAATCTGAGACAAGGACTTCAATTGAAAGAACGAGTAAGATTTTGTTCCTTTAAACAAGCGGTTAATCCCCTGCTTAAGCAGAGAAACACTAGGGTTTAGCGTAAAGTCTACTTCTTTGAAATTTTCAAAATTACGCATTTCCGTATCAGTACCAATTATGATTAAAAATATTAGAACAGTTAGATAATTTGCGTTAATTGACTCTTTTTTAACTCTCTGTTGGCTATCTTCTAAAGATTTGGTGTCGTTTTGTGTATTAGGAAGAGGGCGATGCGATGGAGGCTGACCTGGACAAGGACGAGATCGTGAGGGCGGCTGGAAGTGAACTGGCGGGGGAGAAATTGCTCACTCACAAATACCTTTCCCCACAGGCAAAACAGTCGGTCAGTTATTATTAAGTCAACAATCACAGCAATGATAGCCGGCTGCTGCTGAAATAGCACTGATTGTTCCGACTATAATGCTTAGGTAAAGAGAGTAAAGAAATCCAAATTACGTGAAAAAACTAAAAAAAAGTTAATTGTTTCAATTTTTCTTGATTTTATTTTGTTCAGTAAAGGGCGATTGAATTAGGCGAAAAACTGCAAAACCGCGATGGTATCAATAGTTTTAAAAATGTAGAAATTAGTGCAATAGAAATAATTTGAAAGCTCAGAGTCTACCGTTTCATTGTAAATTTTGTGCCAGTATTCTGAAAAACGGGCAAATTTGGACTAATTTTTCTCTAGACTGACAACATTTTAGAAAATTGCAATCCTAATCATGAAGAATAGGGCTTATATATGATAGCACTCTCGACTTGACCCCCTTTCGAGTTTTCTCCGAAGTACCTAAAATCTGGCGGAAAAAAAAACTAGCTTATCCGTACTTCCTTCCCTTCACTTCGTGAGTGGGTCGGAATTTCAGGATGCTAATGAAAAGATAATCTGTCTTGTTAGCAAGCGTACTGTTTAATGAAGTCAGTGTTCCAAAAAAGTTGAAAAGTTGAAGTGGTTTCATTCTTAGATATTTAAAAGATCCTCGAAATTTTGAATTTAGACTGAATTTATGCATAGAGCTGAGCTAGACTCTAAATCATTAGGTCGGCGATGTGAATCCTGAAGACAATAATATCTTTTTAAGAGTATTGAACATAGTGAGTACTCTTATATAGGTCTTTGTGATTTGTTTTTCACGAAAAAGTCTTGAAATTTGTTCACGCTCAATTTTGATTTCTCGCGGTTTGACTTGTGATTTCTTTTTTAGTTCAGTGCATTTTTATTGTTAAAAAGAAGGCAAACTCCACTATCGAACAGCAAAATTGTAAAGGTCACGGAAAACGTGATCGACTTCTACTTTCGAAAATGGGAATTAATTATCAGATTTCCCGGCGAAATAAAAGTTTTACTTATTGATCCAGTTTTCTCAAATTGGGTTAATTTTAACAAAAAATTGTCCATCATAAATTGTTCTACAGATTTTTGAAAAAACAAGTCCTTATTTCTCCAGTTTCCTTGCGTTCATTTTTCTTTTCCAACTGTCACATTTTTCTTTTCCAACTGTCAGTTGGCTACGTTTTTTCTCAAAGCTGAATAATTTCCTTTTTTTATTTTTTCTTGTCTATTTTCCCGTGATTTTTTTAAAAGCTGATTTATTTACTTTAATTTTTTGCAGACCTTTTTCCGTAATTTTTTTACTTTTTGTCCTGGAAATAACACATTGTTCAAATTAGTAATATACCATTGCTAAGTTCCTTTTAATGTACATCTGCATCTTACATGTACTACTTATTTAGGGATCGTAATTGATTTTTAGTGGTCCATTCTAGTTTCACGATTGTTTGTTTATTTTGTGGGTGTCGACGTTAATTCTGTCGGCTTATTTACCTAATGTTTTTTTTTCTTTTAATTTCAGTAGTTACATTTAAAAAAAATTGAAATAGACTTAAATTGGACAATTTATGTTCATACGCTTAAAATCAGCTTCTCCAAAAACCATAAGCTAAGAACCAAAAAATAGTAAATGATCACAGTAAACATTTTTTGCTTATTTTTTTCTTTTCACGGAGATTCGCTATTGTTCGAGTGGCATGCTGTGTTTATCAGAATTTTTTCGGTGAAGCTACTTCCGCTTGCGATAAGCATGCTTTTTCAAATCGGAATTTAGACTTTTTTGGGTTAACAACTAGTTTAACAGTATCACTCGAATCATTTTACCTATTGTTCATATGAATTCATAAGTCAGACATTAATTCGCGCTTGAGGCGAAAAGCTAAAACATTTGCCTATAAATACAAATATCAAAGTTCGATTGCGGCCAGGGCCTGTTTTTGAAAATTATCCACTCGTCGAAAAATCTTTGAGTAACTTCTGTTTGTTCGCTTGTTTTTTGTCTGCTTAGTTGCCGGTGCTCCAAATTTGGCGAAAGTTTAGGCTTTTTTTACTCATCAAAAATATTTTCAGTGTGTTCCGGTAATTCATTTCCAAGAAGCTCTGGCTTTGTTGCTAGTTTTTGATGTGTATCCTGTTGTTTATTAAAAAGTTGTGGAAGTTGTTTTCTTTATAATTGCAAAAAGTGTTTGTGCATTTGAAGCAGTGGTAACTTCCATGCTTGAGGCGACAAATACCGGAAGTTTGATTCCAGTCCTGACCTGTTTGTGAAAACTGAAATTTTTCGAGTATTTTAGACTTTCGTGTCTGCTTATTTTTGGTCGGCATAGGGTCCAGCCGAAAGGTTCGGTTTCTATTTAGCATTTTAAAAGCTCTGTAAAGTTTCTAATTGTGCATTCTAATTTTTGAAGACTTTTTAAACTTTGGATTTGTTATATAATTAGCTGGTAATCATAAATATTCATTTTTGTATCGCCAGTGGTGCGAAGCTCAGCTTCGCCTCTGTGTCTTGCCATTTCCAAGCGCAGTTTTATTTGTGTTTGCAAACTTAGCTTCCTCTCTGTATTAAAGGGTTTAGACTTTTTCATCCTGGAGGAACTGAACCAACATACGAGCAGTTTGGCTCATTTTAGGCAATCTGCGTTGTGACCCCATTTCAGACCGACCTGCTATTTTTATGACAGGAAAATATTGCTTCGACTTTGCAAGCAACGAGCTTAAAGCATGGTTGGCCTTGATTGTATCACTTACTTAACAATTGAGAGGCGATCTTATTTACTTTTTCATCGCTCCCCTTGAGAGTGAATGATTGTTTTGTTTCAGCTGATGCCTCCGAAGTCGTCTTCGTCTAAACAGAAGCCTATGGACTCCAGTGAACCCTTGATGAGGCCGACCACGCCCAGTAGAACACACACAGCAAAGTATGGGCAAGTCAATGAACTATTTATTACAAGGGTAATTATTGATAAATGAGCGTTGCATTTGTTTTCATGGTTTCAGGCAACATGGAGGCGACAACAGTGCAGTAAGTGTAGCTCCTTTCTCGTAAGAATAAACGATTGCTATAGCGATTGTACCATTACAATGATAAGTATGATTTTAGAAATTTTGGAACACATCGAAAGCTATTAGAAAACTTCGTCCTACAGCTGAAATGCAAATGCATTTTGAAACTTTTCAAATTAAACAAAAAGTATGACTGGTCGATGTCATTGTACTGATTCAATGTTTGGTAGATCGGACAGCAGCAGCATGAGAGATCAAGACCCACAACAAGCAGTGGAAGGGGAGATTTGGAGGGAGTCGTGGAAGGAGATGAGATGGATCTGCCTGTGCTGAGAGAGGAGTCGTCGGACTCTGTGAAGACAGATGTGGACGCCTCAGAGGCACTCAGTCGCACATTAGGAGTAAGTTGAATGGCATGGTTAACCAGGTAGAAAGAATATTTAACCTCATTATAAACACTTTGCCATTTGGGATTAATGACTTGATTCTATTCGTGCTCGAAGTTTTAAAGCAGTTATGTGGTTTCAGTCATCAACTTTTTTAAATCTTGGTTCTCTTCCTAATTCAACTGAAGTAGAGCTGGTCTATGTTTAGATGGAGGACAAGAAGGTTGTAAGGACTGCCCGTAGCCAGTCAGGAGTGGCACCCTCCCAGAGAGCCATCGACAAGCTGGAGAACGTCGAGTCAGTGTTATGTTTTTACACTCGCTTAGTATTTTCATGAAACTAACGGTAAACTGATGGTCCTCTGTGCTTTTCGGGCCTGTTCTTATCCCTCTTTCTCAAATGATTGATTTTTGTGTAGTAATTTTTTTTTTGCTTGAGCTGTTAAGTCGTGGTGAATTTTGACGAATTGCATCGAATGGTTTGCATACTTAACCTTATAAAACAGCGAATTGCCACGAGGAAAGTGAACAAAAATGTTCTTAAATTACATGTAACATGGCCTTGCATCCAAAGCATGATCATTATGTATGATTAGTTTAATTGTTGCAGCTTCAATGAGTACAGCATGGTGTTTGGGTCCCGCCCGAAGATTGTGCGAACTCCGGATGTGGGGGAGGGGGGAATGAGTCGCCGCACAAACACCACCAATCCAATGACACCAAAAGTCTCCTCTTCCGTGCCAAAATGGACCCAAAGGCCAACCAGTGGGGGAGGGGGAAGTATACCAGGCAATAATTCTACGTCTAGAAACTAATTTGGAACCACATTGAGTAAAAAGTGACTTTTTAGATGTTAAATTTCTTCTGTATATACCATGTTGATAGTGTAAAAAATAATTGTGTGTACATTACTGTAAAGAGCCTATAAATTTTGGGACTTAATTGAAGAGGCGTTTTGGATTTTTTTTTCGTAAAAGCTGATTTTTAGGCGTGCCTCGACTGTTGTGATCGTTTTCCGCATGGCCTGCATACAGCCGTTGGCTTCTTACAGATCTGAAAAGCAAAGAGTTATAGGCTAATCGAAGTAGGCAAAAAGTCGCGAGACGGTTTCTGCTGTACTTTTGTGAAACATTCATATAATTAGGTAAAACAAGATCGATAGAAATTTTTTGTCATTTTAAGAGGAAGAGTTTTTTTGAATGAACGTGTCAGTCAATTTTTGTCACATTTTTTTTAAGAATCGAACGTTGTTCAGACTTACTTTTTGAACTTTGATTTCTTTTAAGTTCAGTTATTTTTTTACAAATAAGGCAAACTCCATTATCGAACAGCGAAAGGGTAAAGGTCACTATAAACTTGATGTACTTCAAATTTCGAAAATCGAATTTGGTTATCAGGTTTCTCAGCAAAACAAAAATTTTACCTATTGATCGAGTTGATCAAAAACTGAATTTCTACGGTTAGTCTATTTTTGTTCCGACTATGAAAGTGAGGGGGAGATTTGTATTCGGGTGTTTTATTTTTATTTTTTTTCCACGCAAAGTCAGGTAAAAGCCACAAATAATTTTCACAACAAGAACAATATAAGTAAGAGTGTTCACTACGATCATTAGTCCTAATAACTTTGTTTGCCTTATTTCTAACAAACTATCTTTTTTTTCGCTGCACATGTTGATTTGAAGAAAAAGACACACCAAAATAATAAAAACTAAGCCAATACAATTTGGAGCCATAATAAACTTTAAAAACTAACAATTAAAAAAGTTGGCGCTTAGCAGCTAAACTTTTTGATTTGAATCAAAATACCAAAAAAAACCTGATGATTTTTTTGTTTGCAAGTATTAAGCTTTTTTGTTTGCCTTCAAGTTTAATTGTCAAGTTTATTCCTCAGCACTTTAGTTAATAGCTGGAAAAGACACAGAGAAATACTGACTTCAATTTTGTAGAAGTTCGATAGTTAAAGATTTTCTCGAATAAAATATATGGCCTGAAAGTTCGTTGATTTTCAACAACAGCTTTTGATTGACACATTTTAATTTTTTATTACTCTTAAAATTTTTAAAAGTAAATTCTTTTAGCGAGACTAGAAAAAAAATTTACTACGTTCATCATCTCAAAAGTAGAAAAAAATTTTCACGCTCGTTTTTATGTAAACAAGTTACCATAGCCAACAGACAGTTGGAAAACAGTCAGTGAATGCAAAGAAACAGATATAAATTGACCTTTTTTGACAAAATTTCAACTTTCAATTTTTAAACAGTTCAATTTATATGGTCTTACAGCTCTTTAAATTTCAAAAGCATCTTAAATTGGCACTTGTTAAATAAAAATAATCCAATTGAAAACTGGGATATTAGGGGAAAACATTTATTCCGCTGGGAAATCTAAAACCTAAATTTCACTTTTGTAAATTGAAAAGGATCAAGTTTTTTTGCACCATTACAGCCTTCATGATTGGTCAGTGCACTTTGCCTAAGTTCTAGCAAATGAACTTCAGATTTCACAAAGTGCATTTATACCCAAGGATTTCATAAGTGCATTTTAAAATATGATTGCATTTCTTTCACTTATATGAGCGTCATTTGTTTTTAGAGCCTTACTACGTTCATTGACTCTTAATCACGTTGACTCTCTCAAATTTTTCAAGAGTTATTTATTAATATCCGTTATTATAAACCAACCCAATTTGAATTTAAAGTTTTAATGATACTAGTTAAAAAACTGAAATATTCAAGCCATTGTGTCACAGTTTTGTTTTGGAGAACGTAAATTGCTGTTGCGATGAATTAAAAAGACAAAGCTAAACAGCTTAAAAAATACACAGTGAACTCACAGTTAGAAATGAGTCATGAACTCAAAGAAATGGACAAAAGTACTGAAAAGTTTCATTTTGTTTTTCTTAGATGAAATGTATGGTTTTCCATAAAATTTCTGATAATTTCAAGAACAAATTATGCAAGACATTTTTTGATGAAATTCACCCAAATTGAGAAAACTGGATTATACGGTAAATTTTTGATTGCTTTTGGAAATCTGAAAAAAAAATCTAGTTTCGAAACTAGAATTCGGTCAAATGTTTTGTGCCTTTTTGTTCAATAGCGGATTTTGCCTTCTTTTCAACAAAAGGAATGAAGTGAACTTCAAAAGAAAGTCAGATATGAGGGTGAACAAGTTTTTAGAAAAACATGTGGAAAAAATTACCAAGACCTAAATAAGAGTATTCACTACTATCACGACTCTTAAAAACAGCGTGAAAAAACAAGTACGGGAAAATCGTTTTTTTAAATAAGTATTCGATTTTTAATAAACATTTAATAATTCAAAATCAACTGCGTTCATCATTACTTTATTTTTTTTTACGATCTGATAAAAAAAATTCATGCTTGTCAAAAGTCTTACGCCTGCTAATCATAAAACTAAAGTTTACACACCACCGATACTCTGCGCTTGGCTGTTGAAGCAGCTTCGTGAATTTCTCTCTTGTACTCCTTGTACCATAGAATAAAAACAGGAATGTCCAGAATCAAAACTAGAACTGTAATGAATACACATTGTCTAAAAGTAGGAAGCGGCCATGACGTATCGTCTGATGGTCGATTGAACCAGCTGGTTTTCGTGTCCTGGCATTGACATCTAGCCAGTTCGTGGGCGGAGGTGAAAACACAGTCGCATTCGGGTCTGCTGCAGCCGACGAAACGACAGTCAAGAAGACGCACTTCAAACAACTTAACCGAGGTACTGAAATTAATCCATTTATGTTGCAACATAACTTAAGTGAATTTACAATTTTTTATATATATGTTTCATATATTGTTCTGAACTCTTATTAGATAAATGAACATTTTCTCAAATTTTGAACATGTTGATTTTTTTTCTGAATCGGAAAAAAGATATTCGTTTTTTTTTACATCTATTTTCGGCACGAAAATAGGAATTCAATATCGGTATAAAATACTTCTTAATTTTGCCAACTGTGATCATTTGCCTTCGATTGTAACCTCCTTGGAGTTTCTTTATTCTCATGTAGAACTAACTTTTAGGGTTCCACATGCAGCTCAGGGCAATATTTGAACGTTTAATCAAGTAACATGGCAGGGCTTTTAATCAGATTTTGTTCCTGTGCTTTCAAATTTTAATCGCTAGCTGCAACGGCTTCCCCTCAATGTTGTTTGCCAAATTTTTCAAAAGACTTCTAATGTTTTCATTCACGTGATTTTTTGGCCAAGAAATATTTTTAAAAAGCCATAAAGCGCTATTTTTCCCAAAACTTGGCTACATAATTTCAGTATTGTGTTACAGCAAGGCTTAAAAACTGAATCTTGCAAATATTATCTATTATCTGGTTTTAGATTGGAAGGCTGGCGGATCTTGAACAAATCTGTACTACTCCGGCCTAAAGTTAGTTTTTTTTCAAGTTTTGTAATTTTAAGTTGCTCAGCAGAAATTAACATAAACAAGCATAAATGTGACATTTTATATTCCAATTGAGCGTTTATAAACGAAATTAAGTAATAGCAAATGAAATTTTCAAACTATTTTTTTTGAGCGGTATGTTTCTGCTAAGCGTGTTGACTTACTCTTCCAGTTCTGTAGGGTCGACTCTTTTTGGAACGCACTTGTATGTCCCGACATCATCGAAGTCCACCTTCTTGATTGTCAAGATCCCATCAGTGTCCAGCTGGTATCTCTGGTCATCGGTGCCAACTGGCATGGAGAAGCCATCTGGTGTAGTGAACTCAGCAACAGCGTCGCTGGACTCATCTTCATTTGAACTTGCTCCTGCAGTTGTCATGAAAAAATTAAAGGGATTTGACGCTACCTTGCGAGAATAAAAAGAGCCGAATCTTTTGTTTATTTGATTCAAATTGTCTATTGCAATTACAGAGTTAGAAAAAAGTATAGATGAATTGTTCCAGCTTTTAGCCACCTAAGTTCACGAAAACCAAGCAAGTGAACTATAAAATTAATTCTTCAATGTGTATACAAAGACCACTTCAGAATCCTGTTTACATTTCAAAGGGTACTAAAAACAAGTCTGCCACAGTCTGATCATTTCGGTTTCAGTGTTGGAATCACGTAAAAGATCTAATTGCAAGAAACGGCCTAGAATGTAGGGGAGCTATACGAAACAGACTATTCTTAGCGGAATTAAGCAGACTTTGATAGATCCCCTGTCATATGTTGAAATCGAATTTTTGCTCTGATTCAAAAATATTTACCGAAACATTTGAGATTGGCAGTTTGTCCTAGAGCAGCATAGACCCTTTGAGTTGCCACATGTAGGTCAATCAAATGGTCGTCTTCATGCGATTTCTTCCTCAGTTCATTTGGGTCTGCATTTTGGTGAAGATTATTGTGGTGCACTTCCTCGGGGTCTATGACTGGCAATTAAGCAGAAAAATAAAAATTTTTGAAAGATTGGCCGCGTTATGTCAAACACCTGTTTTTCATTTCCCAAAATCGGTCTCCTGATTTTAAATTTTTCTCGCGTCTTTTCACCTAGCTTCAAATGAAGACCACGTCCTCAAATAATTTGAAAACTTTACTGAACAATTAATTAACATGACAATAAAAGTACTTGCCTATAACTTCGTCTCTGACCGTGTATTTCCATCCTGCATTTTCATCATTGAATGTCAAAATAGAGTCACGAGAAAAAGAAATTTGCACAGTCAAAGTAAATATCAGATACGCCACTAATAAAATGGGAAAACACTTGACCATTCTGCTAGTTTCCTAGATACTGTCGTAAAAATCATTCAAAACTTCAGAAGTCATTTTTGTGTGAATTAGAGCCCTATATATCATATCCGTCGGGATCTTGATTCTTTTCGTGATTTTATTTGTTTAGGGTCTCTCATTTGGTATTATTTTATGCCAGACACTTCTGGCTGACAAACTCTTAATTTTTCCTAGACAACTTCTACGGCATTTGACTATAATGGCGAAAGGAAGCGCGCGCAAAAAAAAACGTAATTATTTGGAACAAAACCTTTTCTTTTTATTTTTTTTCCAAACAACTGCCTGAGGCGCAGAAAAATTGACGAATTTAGTCATTTTTGAGTTCGACTCAGCTCAAAAATTTTTAATGGCTGCCGCCACGCCCATAAATTCAGGCTAGTTGTTTTTCACACTCAATACCAAGTAACCCATAAAACTATAGCATCAAGTCCAATTGGGTATCATAATAAAAACTATCAGTAGGAACGCGAAACTTCTAGATAAATTGAGGCTGTAGAAAAAGGTCAAAAACAGAATAGTATGAAAAAAATAATTATGCCAAAAAGTAGTCCAAAGACATTTTTTCAACAAACTAAGGACCTAGACGAATCGCCTGATATAACTCCTTTGTGAATGAAAGTCCATATCTCGCAAAGTATATGTAAGCTGCATTGAAAACGAAATCTTATATCACTACGCGAAAATTTTTTGAACTAAAACAAACTGTTGGTCATTAAAAATATTGGAGCAAACTAAAAACAGAGCAAAGGGTCTCAAGTAAAATTAATTTGAAAACTATAAGCCAGTCGGTATGCAAAATACCTAGCAGTTTTATTCAATCGACGATAAAATCTTCCATTTTTGAAGCACTAAAACTGCCAAAGATGTCCCAGTATTTACAGGTGGAATATAAAGGGCCTTTGCGAATTACAGTTCCACTTCATTGCTACTCTAGTGGACAAAATTAAGCGCACATTCATGTTTTTACTCTCTGAAAAGCTAATTTTTAATGACAATTTTGGACAACATTTTCTTTCAAATATAGTAAAATTTTCACATAGACCAAAAGCAGATGTTCAGAGCTATGAATCTATCAATGTTTGGTTTCAAAAACTTACTAATGTAATCCGCGTCTGAAAATTCCAGATTTTTCATCTGCTCTTAGTCTTTTAATCTGCGTGAAAAAGTAAGAAAAGTTTAGTAATGTTTTCACAATGATTGTTTCCATTTTCTCGATGAGAATGTTTCACGTCGCGTGAACAAGTTTTTTACTCTGTTTATTCAAGAAAGAATTCGACACGATGCAAATTTACCGCAGATGAGAAAAATTGGCATTTTCAGACCACGATTACATTGGTAAGTTTTTGAAACCTAACATTGATAGTTTCATAGATGGTAGCTTTGATCATTTGCTTTTGGTCTATATAAAAATTTTACTAAACTTCAAAGGAAATGTTATCCAAAACTGCCATTGAAAACTAGCTTTTCAGAAAGTAAATCCTAAATTTGCGCTTAACATTATCCACCAGTGTACCTGTTTTAAGCAAAATTTTCGGAAAATATTTGGTATCGTGTTTAAGAGTTTGTCACGTAGGAAAATATAATAACACCGTGCTAATTAAACTACAGAAAAAAAGTCATCAGTATATGCAATGTTAGATGTAGAAAAAGTGAATGATAGAGATACATACATCGAGTTCGTACCCTGTTTTTTTAATAGATTTCTCAAAAGCTTTGGCACGGAAGGTCAAGGAATTTGTCTCACCAAACGTTTTGCATACGGTATAAGATATCCAATCTGTTAAAATTTGAAATCTTACCTGACAGACAGATATCAGCATGATATTTTGTTTTAATTGAAAGTTCTGTATAATATTTAATCTAGCAATCATGTGACTAATTGTGCAGACAATACAAAAATTGCTTAAGGCCAGTTTTTCGTTTCTGATTTTTTGCTTAAATTTTAAATCAAGATTTGCAGAAAAAAAATGAAAGAAAAAACAAACAAAAGAGTTTGAAATCTGTTGAAATTAAGAACTAAATACTTTCTCGAAAAAGTAATAGGAAAAAAAGAACATCACTGCTCGATTCATCAATGAAGAAATGATAAAATTCAAGTCAAGAAAAACCTCAACGCCTGCCACAGCAAAACTGAAACAATGGCTTGCAAACAGTAGAAGGGCGACTTCAACTAAAATTAAAGTAACAAGTAAGAGATTTTTCTTATAAAGTTGATTTTAAAATCATAGTTTAGAATTGAGCGATGAAACTAAACAACATTTTAATATCATTCTTGTTAAAATTGAAGCCCTTAAACTAAACAAAAGGTTATAGTTCATTTTAAGAACTGTACAAACCCATGCGTCTTCCCAGTTGTGATAGCATTTATTATAGCATTAAAACAAAACTGATTGATCTGATTTGCAACTTAAAAGTTTCTTTTGAAATATTAGTCAAATTTTTTTAAAATTTTTTTATAAAAAACTAAAAGAGTTTTTAGTTTTTACTAAATTTAGTTAAAGAGAGTTTTTGTAAATATATATTTTTAAACTCAAAATTTATAGGTTTTAAACTCTCCTTTTGTCTAGTTTGGGAAATTTATTGCGTGCAATGTTTCCAGTTTTTTTGCTAATGCCTCAACTGCAAATTAGTCTGAAAAATCTCTCAAATTGTAATGAGGTACCAAAGTGGTCTGAAAAATGATTTGTAACCTACAAAAATTTTGTGTTTTACTTCATGATAGATAAAAAGGGGAAAAATTTTTATAATTAGTTTCTATTTTTTCCACAATAATGATTTCTATTAAATATTTTCAAACATCAACAGTGGAAGTAAAAACGTCCAATACTTTTTCAGACAGTTTTTCTGTTTGCGCATTTTGAATGAAACACTGGCGTGAAAACAAAAATCAATGCTGTTTGATGTTCAAAGCTAAAAATTGAAAAAATATTGCACATGTAATCATTTTACCCAATGTTCAAAGTAATTGAGTTTGGGACTAGTTTGAAGACTATAACTCGTATCCGAATAATTCACCGCAATGAATTCAGTTTCATTCAAGCTTAAGCGGTTAATTAAAACATTCTAGAATAACAAGCAATTTACTCTTGTTAGAAGGTTTAAACAAACTGTATTCATTCCAATCAGACGGCTTGTGATCGACGTTAGTGGGCAATTGGAACACCCTAAGTTTTGCCTTGATGTGAGAAGTCTCGAATAATTTTACTTCAAATTATTTTAATACTCGCAGATAAACATGATATTAATCAAAAAATGGATTGAAAACTACTGATCATTTGTCTGTCAAACTTATGTTGAAATTTGATTGTATTTCACTAACATTCGAATGTTCTCATTTTCATTTGTTTTGCAAAAATTTCAATCCAATTGTTTTCTAACTTTTTGTCGTTTTTGTGTTTTAGAAAAAAAAACCATGTGAAATAAAATGATTGTTCCGATCATTGAAAATGGGTAGGAACTTTGTATTCATGTGTGCTTTCGTTTTCCACGCAAAATCAGGTATTAAATTTAACCTTCGAACTACATTGAGTGATATATCATATTGAGGCTCTTTCAAAGTAATTTCGAAAAGCTTTTTCTCAGTGTCGAGAAAAACCCGAGATTTTCGATTTTTCGTCTTTTTTTCGGACGAAGAAGGCGAGCGAGCCAATTTTCTATAGTAAATGAGCCATTAGTACTAAAAATGCAATGATTTTTTTTATTTAAGACCTAGCAAATCTAGTAAAAAATTTTTCCAAAGATTTTTGAATGCCATCGAAGTTCAAATAACATCTGCTAAAATATTGAAAAAAAGTTTAATCGTTTTTTTAAAATCGTTTTTCTGAAACAAAACTGATACCCAATGTACCTATTTTTTGTATGGATACCAGAAATGCTTAAAATTTAGTCTTTATTCATATCCTTTCAACACACTGCGCATCAAAAAAATTGAAATTGAATTGAAGAAATTTTTTTTGTGTAAATTTTCAAAAATTTTGTCGAAATATTCTGCGCTACTTGCACAGCAAGCACCATCTTTGTTTTTATTTGGTAGTTTGAGGTTTCAAATATTGTTATGATTTCGAACAAGGTATTGTCAAATTGGAGGAGAAATGACACTTTCCAATAGCAACTGTGGTGATATTGCGAGAAGGATGATCTTCATTGTTTAAAGTCCGAGCTAAAAAAAACTGTTTTTTGGAACTGAAAAAATCTTGAACAGGTGAATAAATTTTATCCAATTAATTTGATTTCAAAAGTCCTTTTGTTTTTAAATTGATTGAGACGTTCGACTTTTCCTCTCCATAAACTTTTTTTTTCAAACTCATTCAACTGTGCTAAATCTGTTTTTTAAAAGACTGTTCTCATCCAAAAGTATGCATAAATTGGTGTCTATTTTTTTAGTTTTGATTTCTGTTTTTTTGCAGATGTTGTGTTGCTCTACCCATTTATGGTTTGCAGCTTCCTTGAATAATTAAACTTTGATAAAAACCTACAAAGTGTAGGAATAGTATTGAAATACTTTATAGGGTTTTAGGATGGAGAAGCCTATGGTTTTAGAATGGAAAATTGAAAAACTATTTGAGAAGCGGAATTCGACAATTTTTAAATTGAAAACATTTTGATTACGATCAGTGCCCTAATTTACACGTTACAAAATTTTTTAAAAAAATTCTGATTTTAAACTGTGATGTTTTTTGTTGCTTTTATGCATAATTTTAGTATCTTGAATTGCTGCGGATCAGAAACCACTCAATAGTTAATTGAAGTGATCAATTGTTCTTATATATGGAGAGTTTCTGGTAGGTAAAACATTAGTTTTTACTTTGCGTATCAATGGGCAGTTTAATAATTCAGCCTTCATCCTGATACGAGCAGACATGTTAATTTATGGCTCAAGATAAGTATTTGATTTTTTGCCATGTAATTTTTTTAACGAAGTTTTCGTACAATTCTTTGATAGATCTATCAACCGGAAGAACCAAATTGGAAACTTTTGTCAACTATTTGCGACTGTTGCTGATGGTAAGATAGTTTTAAGAACTGTGTAGGAAAATTGAAGTCACTTTTTTCGTTGTTAAAATATATCATTACAAAAACTTGACCTTTTTGAATTTTCTGAAATTTATTATAAAAAAGCGATTATGAGGCAACAGACCCCTACGAGACCAAATTGTGTATTTTGTGAATCGTAAAAGGATTACGCAATAATTATTTTTTTGATCTTTTTCTGTATTACTATTTTTTAACGATCTTTTGGTTGACTTGAATTATGGATTGGGTTACAAACAAAAACCTCGAACACTATAATGGTCAAATTGCTCCGAAAGGAGCCAATATTGCGGAGCCCAGAAAAAAACTTCCAGAGCAGTATGAGGAATTGAAAAACAAATATGTAGTAGATTATAGAAAATAATTTTGCGGAAACCGCTTAAATTTGTGGAGTCAGCTTCTAAATTGCTGAAAATGCTTTCATCATTACATTATACCATTCAAATTTTGCGGAATTTGCTTAAAATTTGTTGAATCTGCTTACATTTACAGAATCCAGAAGAACTCGCTATATTGGCCTTGTTAGCCTTATCATGACTGCTTTAATGGTTCAAAAAATCAATGTTCAAAATTTCGGGCAATGATCCCATTTGTACGACTTGCTTAAAAATGTTTTTTGATCTAAGTTGAACTAAGAATCACTGCAATTATAAGTGTGTCGAACAGCAAATTTATAGAAAGAGCACCATATTCAGGAAAACATTATAATTTTTAAATCTTTTATTTCAAATCGCCTTGTTCGAACTATTGTTTATAGTTGTCTTCTATAATTACTAGCAAAAAGTGCGAACAAACAAAACTAAATAAAAAGAGACCTGTTTTCGAAAAATTTTGCATGCAAAACTTAATTAATTAATCGAAAGCTGTGCTGCTAGGTTTCCTGAAAACAAAAAAAATGCATGCAAAATTTTGTCAAAATGGAAAGATTGCGCTTTTAATTTATTTCTGCCTGTTTGAACTTTCCGAAACTATAGAAAAAACCGGCTCACTGATCGTTCCATTGTTTGCAGTATCGGATGTAGTAGCTGGCACCACAATTTTGTTACTTCTGTCCAATGGATCTCTGACACATATTGTTGTTGTGAATTGGTCTATGTCTCCTGGTCCCATGACTAAGTTTGACTCCTACTTTCGTGCATAGAAGACCCTCCTCGCAGGGTAGAAAAGGCGAACAGTAATATCCCTCACCAACGAACGCTTTTGACTCAGTTATACTGAAGACGATAATGTTGCACACTGTTAATAGAACAAAAAAGAAATGCATGGTTTGTATCAGAAAAAGTCAAGAATGGTTTGTATCAAAAAAATTTTGTCCACTAAATAAGATCAACGATTTTTTTCAGAAAGTGTAAAAATCCGAAAAAATTCGAATTTTTGCTCGTTTCGGTATCAACTGTGTTTGGAGGAGTAATTGAACTATCAACTAATGTTTGTTGATTGCATGATCAGCTAAATTAATCGTTTAAACGTTCCTCAACTTTAAACGTTCCTCAACCTTTCACAACAATGACCTAATGAAATATTGCGAGTGATGTCATCTTAAACCAAAAACTTTAAACGATTTATGATTATTTTAAGCTGCAGCAGTGATTCCACCCATCAGGGATTCGACCCACTGCCGACTAAGGGATCCCCCTTTGGTACTGTTTTAGGAATCTAATTTTGGCGGACCATTGTTACCATTTTTTTACCCCGTTTTGGTCGGCCAGCACTTGAAGTTTATCTAAAAGTGCCTGTGGTTCCAATATTTTTTTTCAGAGGGGGATCACATTCAGAAATAAAAATTTATTCAAAAATTTAACCTTTAAAATTAAGTTACTGAAATGTGAGAAAAGCTGTGAAAAAAGATATGGTCATGCAAATTAGATTTGAAGTTACAATTTTCACACATTTAACCCCAAAATGAAATTGCGCAAAATAATCGTGAACGATTGATTAAGCCGGCATGTGATGTGCTACAAATGTTTTCTACAAGTATCGTAATGCGCATATAGATAAAAGTGCTTGTAGTAGGGTAAACTGTGAGTTAACATGTCTAATGTTAGGCAAAAAATGGAAAAAAAAACAATTTTCATTCGAATTTTCAAAGTTTTTTTTTAGTTTTCATTACCGCGTTAACCGGTTCATTACCGGTTCGGATTGATCGTCTGGAGTTGGTGAAGGTTGTTTTCCTTTTCATGTTGCGCTGGAGTTTCATCATCGACAATGTCACCAGTTCCATCTGTGGTATTGGTCTCTTGACTGCATCTCCCAATCTGGTTGCCGCTTTCAAGAACAGACCGTTCTAGTTGATCGAGTTGCATCCACGATGTGTTGGTTCCACGTCGAATGATGAAAATTGCTCGCTGTGCTTTCTTGTTTTTGTTCGACATGAAGAAAAAATTTTCTCGGTAAATCGGTGATTCTATTCTGTGAACTCCCTGAGACTTACACCACGTTTTGAAGTCATCGCTTACAAGTTTGGGTCCCTTCAGGTAGTCAACATATCTTGAACAGCCCCTGTTGGGTGTTGATTGTGCACACTTCTTTCGCTCCATCATCAGGTTCGATTTGATGGCAAGCGTGTGGGAGGTCAATTTTTCCAAAGAACTTGGTTCCATGCAAGTTGCGGAAAATGTCCCCATGTCGGGTAATAGGTATTCTTCGTCCTTTCGTTTGCCACTGAGGTGAACTTTGTAGTCGGCACAAAGTCTGAACTCACCATTTTTATTTCTTTGCCACACGACTGGTGATGCATTGGTAGCTCCTCCCGGTTGCAGGGTTCGAGAACTCCCTGCTTGAACATGTCCTGTAGCTTTGCTTTTACTGCCTCTTGCATCGGCAAAGGAACTTTTTGTGCTTTGTAGAAAAGAGGTTGGGCTCCAGGCTTCAGTTTTACCTGGGCGTTGTATCTTTTGACAATCGACTAAGTCCCTGAAAGCCCATATATCGAGTACTGGGTTCTTAAGAGGTCGGGTCCAAGGATTCCGAAAACCTTGTTTGATCGTTTAACTGCCAGGAATAGCTTTGAGTAATTCGACCATTTCATGTCAGTCCGCAGAATGATGTTCCCTCAAGAAGTATTCGTGTCCATTGTACGCTTCTAGAGTCCGAGAAACTCCATCTGGAGCAGGTCTTCTCAGCTCCTCTCACAATGTCACTCGACGATATCACTGTTGCATCAGCACCTGTGTCCACATGCATTTCCACCTCAGTGCCATCAATGACGACACGTTCTCATGCAGCGGCCATGCCGATGTGACTTGATGCAAAAAAAACCTTCAAATACCTCTCTGAAAAATGACCCCCATCAGCATAAGGGCTTACTCTCTTATTAAGTCTCCTGTTACTTTTGTTGAAAATGCTTAACTTACTTCGACACTTTATTGCAAAGTGTCCTATCTTACCACATGAGTTACATTTCTTACCCGTTCAAGGACAAGACTTATCCGCGTGCGGTTTTCCCCCGCAGTTGGACATTTCATTTTATTGCCTCTGAAAGTTTTTTTATTCTTTCTTGGTTTCTAGAACGTTGAGCTAAATGCTGTGATTGATCGCAAACTGTAAAAGATAGATGTTAGTGTCTAGAAAACTTATTTTTATCCATATATATGGATTTTTGCAGGACACTGAAAACCATGAAAACGTCAACAAAATTGTTTAAAAACAAAACTATGGGGTCATGACAAGACCAGTAATTTTGATTATTATTTTTGCTCCAAAAATTTGGGCGCAATTTTTTTCGAGTGAATCATCAAAAAATTGAAAAGTCAATTGTCAAAGGTTATTTTTGCTCTAAGACCTTCGCACCTAGGTTCTTTTACTTTGCATTCAGGTCAAACATCAGCAGGCAAAGTTAACTGAACAGGATACTTTATAATTTTCCTTATCAAGTTACTCTTGTTGACTGTGAGCCAAAAAAGTCAGAAAATCTAAAAATAATCAGTTTTAACTTGATAATTTAAAAAAAATAGATAAAAATCAAATTAATTTGAGTTAAAGGTTTGAAACGAATTGAATTTGACGTAAAAACTCTTCAAATTAAAGATATTTGAAGTTAAAGTGAAAATTTAACCAATTTAGAACCAATTCGATCGGAACCTTCTGAACTTCGAAATAGTAGATATTGAATTACATTTATTACATTACATAAAATACTTAAATTACCTTCAAACTACCTTGTTCATCTGCAAACTTTTTTAATTCAAAAATTGATCGCAATCCCTTCTTATCTGTTCGGAATAATTAGAGAAAACATCACTGTTTTCAAAAAGCGCTAGAAAAATCAGTGTAGGAAAAAGCACGTCTCGCTTAAAACTTGCTATTTGTTCTTTTTGAGATGTTGAAATAGTTCTTATCAAAACAAGACGGTTCGTTTCTGTTTTGCAAGATCAAATTTTTAAAAAAATAGCACTTCATTGCGCTTGCGCGCTTGGAATAACAACCTCGTTACTCTGAAGTTATCATTGGAATGATGATAAAGTGTCTAATCATGTTAAATATTATTCCTGACAATCAGTCATAAAAATAACCGCAAGAGAGTAACTGTTTTGTCAAACCGCAACTTTACACAACATCAAATTATCTGTGATTATTGTGAAGTCAGACTTCTCAAGAAATAGTTCTCAAAATTCATTTTAGTAATTCATATGCAATTGATATTATCAACCTATCTTCATTTTTTTCTTCTGGTCGAACTGTTTCTGATCTAAATTTATTATGGCATCTCGCCTGTGGGATTTTGCGTCTAGCGCAGCAGCTGGCAGCAGCACTACTAGTGGCAGACATCAGAAACAGTCATCTGCCCAGCATCAGACCCCTCTGAGCAAAGAGGAGAAGGAGGTGGTGGAGACGCTGACGGACATCAAGGACGCCTACAAGGCCAGTCTACTGGAACACAGACAAAAAGTATGCAAATTTTCCATATTCTGGGGGATGGGGGTTATAATAACGACAGAAAGTTCAAATATATCAATCAAATCAATCAAGTATACCATTATTACAATACTGACTGAATTCTCACTTTTTCAGTTTTTCAAAAATTTTACCATTTGGCGGTTTTTCTGGCATAAAAGGATTTCCCCATTTCTAGGGCTTAAATATTAACTTTATAGCTATTTTGCGAACCAAATACGCCTCCTTGTGTAACATTTATTGCATTATTCTGTGTGTTCGGAAAATGTTTTCTACTTATTGCGACCTTTTTTAATGCCGAAGATTTTTACTTATTGCGATTTTTCGAAGATTTTCTCTGTAAATCATGCCATTTTTTGTAAAATGTCAACCGGCGTGTTTTCTGTTCAGGGCAAGCACAGCAGTGGTAACAAGGCGGACAACGTGATCAACTTGGCAGACATGAAGTTGTTGATGAAGACGTTGGGGCTGAATGTGAATGTGGAAAGACTGAAGGAGGTGTTGAGTGTGAGCAGGGCTAAGGATGTCAGACACAGGATAGACTTGGACTTCTTCTCACTTTTGAACCAGTTGGAGGGACTAGTCGAGGTGAGTAGTTGAATGGACTAGTTTTTCTCACCTACTCTCCATTTACTTATTTGAAAGTTCACCCCTACCATGGTCTATAAGTAGACACAAGGGTGGTAGGGGGCTTTGGTTGGCTAGGGGGGTCCAATCTCCCCCTTCAAACCGTCCCTGAGTGGACTAATTGAAGGTTTAAAAATATATATAAATGTTGTGCCTAACGAACTTTCCCAACTTGGAATGGGGACTGGAATTGAACAGATTCTAAAATCATTTAAGCGTTGGTTGACAGTTTGACAGTTTTGTTTGAAGCGTGCTTCTTCTTTCAAAATACAACGTCTGTTGACAGAAAAAGGACCTGTTTTAGGTTCATCGCAGCTTTTAGCCATAATAAGTGTCATGAATTCCATAAATGTCCTGATTTTAGCGCCTTATTTAAATTTAGCTACTCTTTTTTTTTAAATTGAAATGCCTTAAATTGTTGTGAAAAAACGGTTGTCCAAAAATCAACCATACTATCAGTCGGAAAAATCATACCGTTTTTCTGTGGATATACAGGATCCCTACGTGGACAACGAAGTAAGGAGGGCCTTCAGCTCCCTCGAGAGTGACTTGGGGGTGGGGAAGGGGCAGCTGACGAGGAGACATCTGGTGGGGGTGGTGAGACCCTTCAGCAACTTCATCTCTGAACAGGAAGTGGACGAGATATTCAGGGACATTTGCTCCTCTGAAGCACCGTCTTCCACAACCACTGATCAAGAAGATAACTATTTCTCAAAAAATCTTTATTCCATCCTCTCCGCTTTTCTGTAGATCCAAAATAAACAATGAACCAATGAACCTGCTGATGAACAAATAAACAATTTTCAATGTACCTGCTAGGATTTGGAGTTGTTACAAAAGGCAGAAAAACAGATGTATTCGACTTCAACACTCGCAAATGAGCTCATTTCATCTTCACTATTTATGCTTCCTTAACATGCATTTAATTCGAAACAGCCCCACAACCTGGTATATAAACTAGGCAAGGGGGCTGAAAATTTTAATTGGAGTAGGATCAATTAATTCAAAAAATATAGCCTTGTGCATTTTAGCGAAAGAGTGGGTGGTAATCTTACGTCAATATACCCAAATTTTGAAAAGGGAGCGCGCCAAAAAAAAGTTTTTGTTCACAAGATTGCATACTATGCCCAGCAGTGCGATTTTGGCTAATGATTCGGCTCAGTAGTTTCCAGCTAAATTTGGTCTTTTTGGTGCTTAAGGAGAGCTCAGAAAATATATTTGGTCAATGTATGAAGAAAGGTTTTCGGTGTTGCTTGTACGAAATACCCCTCCCCCCGTCCCTCTCGAGAAAATCCTGGGATGGTCAGATGGGTGGTGGAAGAAAAGATAATGTTTTGTACTTCAGCTGGACGTGGACGACTTCCTCTACACTCTGAAGACAACACAGTCAACTGCCGCACAGGCTCAACACAAACAACGACAACAACAGCGACAACAACAACTGCAGCAGCTGCAGAGGAAGAAAAAGTGAAAGTGAAAACAAATGGAGACCAAAATCATAGGCAAAACATGGAGCCACGAGAAAACCTATCTTATGTCTATAATAACTTAATCATACATAATGTAGTATTGCATACTATACACTAACTTGAGACTTAACCTAGTCTTTCCGACTTCTTAAGCACCAGTCCGATTTAAATATTTCTATCAAGAATGGACTCACATTTTCCCCTAATATTAAAGAAACCAGGTACCACAAATAATCAACGGATTGGATTGAATAACATATCATGTTGAAGCCCTTTCATTCGTGACTCAAATGTCATTGAAAAGTTTTCAGAAATTTTTTTTCTCAGTGTCGAGAAAAACCGGTTTGAAATTTTTTGAGTTTTCGTTTACTTTCAAGCGAGCAAAGCGATCCAGTAACAATCAGATCATTATTTATGATTAATTTTTTTCTTAGACCTTCGGGCTAAAAAAATAAAAAATAGAAAACTAGTTACGGTTGTAAAAATTTGTGGTTCTTTGCTATTAGATCTTTGGTTAGAAACTTTGGTTAGAACTCAGTGGTTAGAAATAGTATTTTTTTTTATAAAATTTTTTTGTTATGCAGATTTGTGTTTTAAAAAATGCAGATTTGTGATTGTATTTTTTTGGATGTTTTCTGTGAAAACCTGGACTACATTGTAGTAGAAAAAAGTAAAAATTTGCCTGCAAATTGCAATGTTTGCAATTTTAGAAGAAGCAATTTTGTCGTGGGAGGTCACACGGGTAACTATATTTTGAAAGATAACCCTCATTTACAACTATCTTGCGAGATCTCACAAAATAGAAAACCTCCATCAATAAAGCTATAGAGTTAACTTTTCGCACCTTTTTTGTCTTAGCCATTCAATTTTGACTTCAATTTACGACGAGAGTTTAATTCATTCTCACCCTTAGTATCGTTTCAAGAAGCCCAGTATGCCATCATCAAGTTTTATTCATTGAAACTGCGTAACCAACTCATAATAATGAAAAGTTATCTCTTCATTCGCATTTTACTTAATGTAATTCTTATCACAGGATATGATTCTTTCAAGACAGTTTTAAGAAGTTCCGACCAGCCGGAAACCTTCATTAGTAATGAAATTGAACATACTTCTGGATTGGATGAACGTTCGTCTGGTCAGGTAACTGGGAAAAAGTGGAGTTGAAAAAAAAATCGAAAACCGAAACAGGGATAACCGGCTGCTGTGCAAGTAGAACAGAATATTCCAACCATATACTCTTAAAAAAACTTTGTATTTTGTAGAAGTTAAAAGCATGGTCGTAAAGTTTTCGAAGGTTGTTTGAAAGATCTTTCAAAACTTTGAAAGTTCTTTATTTTTTTTTTCAAATTAGTGTAGTTTTTGTTTTTGTTTTTTAGATAAAATGATTGGACGAAAACCTAGATCTTAGGCATTTTCGAAAGTCATAGTAAAAGTGTTTATTCCCAAAGCGGCGTTAAAATAACTCCGCAAAATAGTTTTATTTGAGTAAAACTAAAGTGTAACGGCTTATCCTTCTTTAATAAACCTGCTCGCTTGCTTTACTCGCTCGAAATTACTGAAACTCAAAAAGTTTACAGCAGTTTTTCTCAAGACCGGTACATTTTTTTGAAAGTTTTCAAATCAGGGCTGAAAGCGCTTGAGTAAGATATGTCATTTCAACCTTTCCGACAATTTTTTGCGGTAATTAGACCAAAATTTAAAAACATTCGAACGTTTTTTTCTCGACACTGAAAATTGTTCGAATCACGGCTGAAAGGGCTTCAATGTGAAATATCATTTGAATCACTCAGCTGATTATTTGTGCTGCTTAATTTTACACCCGAATAAAAAGTTCCATCCCTTTTTCAATGGTCGGAGCAAAAACACAAACCGAAAAAAATTTAAATCTAATCAAAAATAATTTTAACACTCGCTTTCTTTTATTTTTGTTGCAGTGACCAAAAATTTATGAGCTCATGCTTAATTTTAAAAATTTTGCAGGTTGTCTCAAATGGTTCCAACTTGCATGATCAGAAATTTTCTTTCAATTCTGATTCACCGGGCATGGCCATCATAAACGGAAATAATTCTCCTGACAGACCCTTCTACGTGCAGTTAATAATGAAAAATAGTCGGGGTGTCTACTACATTTGTGGGGGTAGTGTGATTGGTGAAAGGTGGGTGTTGACAGCAGCACATTGTCTCTTCAATATGGGTGAGTTGCAAGTTTGCTTTTCCAAACAAAAAAGTGTATTTTCTGAATTTGAGAAGTATAAAACAGAATTTATTCATCAACAAATTCTTGAAACATTGCAAACTCTCAATTAAAAACGTTATAAGAGTGCAAAATGAACTTGATTTTAAAATTCAGGTTAATTAGTGTAGATGCGAAAAAACTGCAAAAATATCAGCCCAGAAAATTTTTTATTGACTTCATATTGAGAAAACTAGATTTGATCGCGTCTTTACTCATCACAGCTGAATATTTTTACTGCTGGTGCTATTTGTTTAGCGACCGTCGATGTCAATGTAGGAGATTTCACAAAAGAGGGCAGTTCGAAAAAATCTATTGCTGCATCGATCCTGATTCCGCATGAAAAGTAAGTTACGTTCTAAATGGAGACATAGTGGAGACTCCTGTTGACCATCTCGCTCGCTTCTATGGTGCTAGTATCGAATATCTACACCTAATTGAGCTAATCCAGCACTTAAGAATTAATGGTTAACATGACTGATCGTTAATTTAAGCCTAGTTTATTAATTTTGCGAAAAAAAGGCCTGGCAGAGGTGAAAGTAACAGCCTTTGATTGAAGACTCTGGAAACGCACTTGTAAAAGCGTTTACGGCAACTCGTTCAAAATCTAGAAAGATCCTCAATGGTCGTGCGTTATCAGAGACAGAAGTGATGGCTTTCAGGAATTTTGAATACGTCTGTTCAGTTTTGTTTGGCAGTAGAGCATAAAGGCATGGTGGGTAAAATCCACCGATTTGAATATGAATGGTATAAAGCTGGTAAAATTGCATTGGGCAAGTTTTGAATGTACCGTCGCAAAGCCAAAGAGAATTGTGAACTCGGAGGGCATGAACATTATCTCGATCACCGAAAATCAAAATTCGCTCTGGATCCATAACTCCTCTGTCGAATAAACAGAAATCAGAATATTCCGTCGGAATTAAGAAATTCCTGTCTTTAATGATCGGCAAGGACGGGACCAAGTTCCGTTTCTGGCGGTTTAGAGTTCTGTTTATTGCTGCACGACTGGGCAAGGATAATTGAACAGCTTTCTCATCAGTTACTTCCTGGAGACAAGTGGCAATTATACTACTATTAACAGGTACAATTTGCTGCCTGGCCTCTTTTTTCATTTGATGCATGATCTGGTTTGCCTCAATTTTCCCAGGTCTAACATCGTGGCTGTGCTCATTTTTTGTTGAGACGAGTTCATCTCCTGCTGTGACGGCGAGCATGCGGTATTTGTGTGAGCTGTATCTTGCGCATCTCCAGTGCTCAGTAGTTTTTGTGAAATCGTGTCCGTCAATAATTAGCGTTCGTTTGTTTCGTTGAGATATTCCCCACGTAAGTTGACTCATAGTATTTATGTTGAAGTATTTATCTTGAAGTATTTATGTGGATGTTTAAGAACGAAATGGTAAACAATGAAGCAAAATTAAAGAATGTTTCATTTTGTTTCAAAGGCGCTAATTGTGGATTATTGTCAAAGTTTGACGTGTAATTATCAAAAATTATGGTTTTTTAGGCTCAGCTTCGAATTTTTTCGATTAGAGTCTTTTGTTATCTCGAAACGAATCCAGTGTACATTAGCACTTGCTGGTCCTCAATTTGAACATCAATGAATCAAGTAAAAGTGTTAAGTATGGGATAAAACGGCATAGGACAAAATATCATGTGGGGCAAGTTGGCATAGGACAAGTTGCCATGTAGGGCAAGTTAGTATAGGACAATTTGACTTGGGGCAAATAGTCCTGACACCGTACTTTCAGATGTCCTTAGAAGTTTCGTTGCCTCGAGCGGATTTATGGATTTTAAACAAGCATACTCGCTTGCCAATCCAAAGATTTCAGATCATGCGCTGTCAATGTTTTTGTTAAATGGGTCTATTTAAAAAAACATTCCAGGCATATACATTATTCATTTTCTACGGAAATTGGAACAACAAAACTGTGAGCCTTCAAAATTTTGTAAGAAAGTTGTGACTTTTAAGTTGTAAGGATAATTTTCTTTTAGTCAACCTATGTTTTTGATCTTGAAATTTTTTTACCCTTAAGCAGATTAGAAGGCTAATTTTTTGTTTGATTTCATAAACTTTTTAAGCAATTCAATGACAATTTTGCGCGATTTTGCTACTGAATAGCAGTTCTGACGCTCTATGCAAAAAAAAACAGCCAAAGCCGAAAAAACAGAATGCAAAAATAGCCAAAAACAAGAGCTGGTAATCTCTAGCTTTTGTTTTTGTCTATTTGCTTTTGCATAATTCGGCCTTTTGTGGTTGGCTTTTGTATGCAAAAAGCGTCAGGTTGGGTTTTTTCTGGCTTTACTTTAAAAAATTATAAATAAACTCTTTTTGTGGGCAATGTTTTCTTTTCGCTTCAGATTAAAACTGTTTGTGCTACCAGACGTAAGAGATTTCAATTATTCCATATTGCATTGCTTAAGGTATACCTTGCTCTTTCATAATTAATTGTTTTTGTTCCGACTTTCGATACGAAAGTAACGGAATATTTGTGCTCGGTGTGGGTTTTTTTTTCTTCAGACAAATTTCGACTTTTTAACTAGCCATTTTTGACGGAATTTTTCGAAAGGTATTGTTGTCCTGAGCTCAAAATTGAAAAGATATTTCACTTGTGATCATTTTTTGTAAAGTTATGAGGGTTTAAATATTGCCATTTTGGCCAATTTGGGACAATTAACGCGCGATATATTTCGCGCTATTAACGCGTAAGCGGAGAGTTAATCCGTCTTAGAAATTGTTCCGATTTGGTTAAAAGAAGCTTATTCGCCATAATTGGTTTGTTACAAGGAGCAAAGTCTATCCTTTTGTACTTGTTGTATGGCGTGTGG